CGGTTGTAATGTCTTGACTTGGTTGTGGTTTGGTTGTGTTGTCTTGATTTGGTTGTGTTGTCTTGATTTTGTTGTGATTTCTTGATTTGGTTGTGATGTCTTGATTTGGTTGTGGTCTTTATTTGGTTGTGGTGTCTTGATTTGGTTGTGGTTTGGTTGTGGTCTTGATTTGGTTGTGACGTCTTGATTTGGTTGTGATGACTTGATTTTGTTGTGATGTTTTGATTTGGTTGTGGTTTGGTTGTGGTCTTGATTTGGTTGTGGTGTCTTGATTTAGTTGTGGTTTCTTGATTTGGTTGTGATGTTTTGATTTGGTTCTGTTGTCTTGATTTGGTTGTGATGATGTTTGGTTGTGGTTTGGTTGTGGTCTTGATTTGGTTGTGATGTCTTTATTTGGTGGTGATGTCTTGATTTGGTTGTGGTGTCTTGATTTGGTTGTGGTGTCTTGATTTGGTTGTGATGTCTTGATTTGGTTGTGATGTCTTGATTTGGTTGTGGTTTGGTTGTGGTCTTGATTTGGTTGTGGTGTCTTGATTTGGTTGTGATGTCTTGATTTGGTCATGATTTGGTTGTGGTGTCTTGATTTGGTTATTATTTGGTTGTGATGTCTTGATTTGGATGTGGTTTGGTTGTGGTGTCTTGATTTGGTTGTGGTTTGGTTGTGGTCTTGATTTGGTTGTGGTGTCTTGATTTGGTTGTGATGTCTTGATTTGTTTGTGATGTCTTGATTTGGTTGTGATGTCTTGATTTGGTTGTGATAACTTGATTTTGTTGTGATGTCTTGATTTGGTTGTGGTTTGGTTGTGGTCTTGATTTGGTTGTGGTGTCTTGATTTGTTTGTGACGACTTGATTTGGTTATGGTGTTTTTATTTGGTTGTGATGTCTTGATTTGGTTGTGGTGTCTTGATTTGGTTGTGATGTCTTGATTCAGGTGTGGTGTCTTGATTTAATTATAAATTGGTTGTGATGTCTTGATTTGGTTGTGATGACTTGATTTGGTTGTGCTGTCTTGATTTGGTTGTGATGTCTTGATCTGGTCATGATTTGGTTGTGATATCTTGATCTGGTCATGATTTGGTTGTGGTGTCTTGATTTGGTTATGATTTGGTTGTAATGACTTGATTTGGTTGTGGTGTCTTGATTTGGTTGTGATGTCTTGATTTGGTTGTGGTTTGGTTGTGGTCTTGATTTGATTGTGGTGTCTTGATTTGGTTGTGATGTCTTGATTTGTTTGTGACGACTTGATTTGGTTGTGATGTCTTGATTTGGTTGTGATGACTTGATTTTGTTGTGATGTCTTGATTTGGTTGTGGTCTTGATTTGGTTGTGGTGTCTTGATTTGGTTGTTATGTATTGATTTAGTTGTGGTGCCTTGATTTGGCTGTGGTGTCTTCATTTGGTTGTGATGTCTTGATTTGGTTATGGTGTTTTTATTTGGTTGTGATGTCTTGATTTGGTTGTGGTGTCTTGATTTGGTTGTGGTGTCTTGATTTGGTTGTGGTGTCTTGATTTGGTTGTGATGATTTGATTTGATTGTGGTTTGGTTGTGGTCTTGATTTGGTTGTGGTGACTTGGTTGTGTTGTGGTGTCTTGATTTGGTTGTGTTGTCTTGATTTCGTTATGGTGTCTTGATTTAGTTGTGATGTCTTGATTTGGTTGTGATGTCTTGATTAAGTTATTGTGTCTTGATTTTATTGTGATGCCTTGACATGGTTGTGTTATCTTTGTTTGGTTGTTTGACTTTGTTGATGGTTATTTTCTGCAGCAATTGTTTTCTTAAAGCTCCTGTGAGGTAAGAGGTAAAACTTTCTCCCCAGGGGATGCTTAGTGTGACACAAAAGGTTTTAGGTGTTAAGGTGTTAAGCTCTCAGGTACAGTCATATTGTCTAAAAGTGGAAATCATCCTTTGTAATTACCATTTAAAATCAAATGTCATTATATATAATGAGGTAAAATAAGTGTATAAAAGAAGGTTCTGTTGTCTTGATTTGGTTGTGATGATGTTTGGTTGTGGTTTGGTTGTGGTCTTGATTTGGTTGTGATGTCTTTATTTGGTGGTGATGTCTTGATTTGGTTGTGGTGTCTTGATTTGGTTGTGGTGTCTTGATTTGGTTGTGATGTCTTGATTTGGTTGTGATGTCTTGATTTGGTTGTGGTTTGGTTGTGGTCTTGATTTGGTTGTGGTGTCTTGATTTGGTTGTGATGTCTTGATTTGGTCATGATTTGGTTGTGGTGTCTTGATTTGGTTATTATTTGGTTGTGATGTCTTGATTTGGATGTGGTTTGGTTGTGGTGTCTTGATTTGGTTGTGGTTTGGTTGTGGTCTTGATTTGGTTGTGGTGTCTTGATTTGGTTGTGATGTCTTGATTTGTTTGTGATGTCTTGATTTGGTTGTGATGTCTTGATTTGGTTGTGATAACTTGATTTTGTTGTGATGTCTTGATTTGGTTGTGGTTTGGTTGTGGTCTTGATTTGGTTGTGGTGTCTTGATTTGTTTGTGACGACTTGATTTGGTTATGGTGTTTTTATTTGGTTGTGATGTCTTGATTTGGTTGTGGTGTCTTGATTTGGTTGTGATGTCTTGATTCAGGTGTGGTGTCTTGATTTAATTATAAATTGGTTGTGATGTCTTGATTTGGTTGTGATGACTTGATTTGGTTGTGCTGTCTTGATTTGGTTGTGATGTCTTGATCTGGTCATGATTTGGTTGTGATATCTTGATCTGGTCATGATTTGGTTGTGGTGTCTTGATTTGGTTATGATTTGGTTGTAATGACTTGATTTGGTTGTGGTGTCTTGATTTGGTTGTGATGTCTTGATTTGGTTGTGGTTTGGTTGTGGTCTTGATTTGATTGTGGTGTCTTGATTTGGTTGTGATGTCTTGATTTGTTTGTGACGACTTGATTTGGTTGTGATGTCTTGATTTGGTTGTGATGACTTGATTTTGTTGTGATGTCTTGATTTGGTTGTGGTCTTGATTTGGTTGTGGTGTCTTGATTTGGTTGTTATGTATTGATTTAGTTGTGGTGCCTTGATTTGGCTGTGGTGTCTTCATTTGGTTGTGATGTCTTGATTTGGTTATGGTGTTTTTATTTGGTTGTGATGTCTTGATTTGGTTGTGGTGTCTTGATTTGGTTGTGGTGTCTTGATTTGGTTGTGGTGTCTTGATTTGGTTGTGATGATTTGATTTGATTGTGGTTTGGTTGTGGTCTTGATTTGGTTGTGGTGACTTGGTTGTGTTGTGGTGTCTTGATTTGGTTGTGTTGTCTTGATTTCGTTATGGTGTCTTGATTTAGTTGTGATGTCTTGATTTGGTTGTGATGTCTTGATTAAGTTATTGTGTCTTGATTTTATTGTGATGCCTTGACATGGTTGTGTTATCTTTGTTTGGTTGTTTGACTTTGTTGATGGTTATTTTCTGCAGCAATTGTTTTCTTAAAGCTCCTGTGAGGTAAGAGGTAAAACTTTCTCCCCAGGGGATGCTTAGTGTGACACAAAAGGTTTTAGGTGTTAAGGTGTTAAGCTCTCAGGTACAGTCATATTGTCTAAAAGTGGAAATCATCCTTTGTAATTACCATTTAAAATCAAATGTCATTATATATAATGAGGTAAAATAAGTGTATAAAAGAAGATTCTTATAAACATGTTTGCATGATTGTTATCCTAATTCACCTCACAGCCATCATAAGAATTGTTTTGTATCCCAGCTCCATTGGTTGCCTGATAAATCATTCAACAAAAATAGCTATTGTAGCTTTTTTTTTTAAAAACAAACACTTTATCATACTTAGGGTATTATAAAAACTATCCCTTCATCCATTGTATCCTCTGAAGTAACTAGGGTTCTTCTTAAAAGCAGGAGATATGGTGACCACACACCATCTTTATATGACTGAAATACATTTAAAAAAAACTACAACAGGCTGTATGGGCGATATACAAATAGACTATATGGAGTATATTTAATTTCTAAGAACTCAAGGTTATATCAATACTGTTTTTTAGTTCATTAATATTTCACAACTGATGGCAAGACAATTCTTAATTTTTTTAGAATGAAATAGAAACAATGTCATAGGTGACAATATTGTTGAAAGCAGCGGGTTGACTCTGAGTGTCATCATATAAATCATATGTAAGATAGAAAATATGAGGCAAAATGTATTAGGAATAACTATAAAATGTTTAATTATATATATATTACAGAATACAATTATATTGTGTCTTGTTAAGTCTAACAAGTCTATTGTTTGTGGCCACCTCCTCCCACATACACATCCATAGGGCCGCATTGTACAGGTTGCCCTGAAATCCTGGCTGCACTAGTTTCCTGTTAGCGGCTGGTGACAGCATAGGGTCAAGTGAAAAGTCAAATAACTTGCTTTTATGTTGAGATAACAGTCTAAAGATACAAATGACATATTTTAATGTTTGGTGTACTTACTTAAAAAATGACAGACTTTGATATACATACCTTTTGAATCTTTGTTTCAATTTTCAATTTCCGCCTAAACTACATGTGTGTTTAAGTGTGAATATTTCAAAATTGAACATGGTATCGATAAAAACTTTGCATAATTGAAACTAATAACTATCTGTGAACATCCTGTCCAAATTTGGTGAAATTCTGATTCCCAGAGATACATGTTATAAGGCTAGAGCTGTCCCTTTTGGAGAAGCCCTAATTTGACCTATTGTTTTTTGGTAAGATGCATAAAACATCCAAAAAAAGTTATTTTGCAGTAAAATATTTTTATACAACCATCCGTTTCATAAACTAGACATGTTCAGGTTATGGAAAAATATGGTTGTGCTTTGTTCTACCTCGGGTAGGGGTATCTCAACTTTTAGGAGCCCAAGTTCCTCTACTAGTACTATTATATTAATTATTCATCAAATCAACAAAAAGCAGTTTCGTCTCGCCATCGTCATATTTGACTAATTTAAAAAAGACCTTCGTTTTTTTCGTTGACGAGATTAACACTTGACCTGAAGAAGCCAAAGCAAAAATGTATTTAATCTTAGGAACAATCTGTAACATTTCTGAGCATTGGAATAATAATTATAAAACATTTAAAAGAATAGATGTCTTTATAAGGAGAAAACTAAATACTGTGGCAGAATCTCTTATTTGATATTTAATACTTAGATTTGACATCATCAGGTAATATTGTAATATTATTGTAATATTCCAAAGCGATTAGGGCTTCATTCTTGGAGGGTTCAAAGTCACTTCTTTTCCCCTGAACAGTGGTACAGTGTGTTGGATAACAAAGTTGTTTTTTGATTCTCCTCTACATTTTTGTATCCCCTTAGTTGTCTCTCCTCCCATCAAGGTGCGCTGGCATTCATCTTCTCCTGGCAGCTGTCCCAGAAGTTGAGCAGTCTATTGTCCTTATTGATGCAGAAGTCAGTGAAGTCTCTGAGGAGGCGCTCAGCCAGCCGCTCATCACCAAGCACGCCCGTCCTCCAAGCCTTGGTTAGCATGGTGTTGTACGCCCAGTAATAACCAACCCGCTCCTCGCCGCCAAACGCCCCCTGGCTGTTGGAGGTGGTAGAGTTTCTGCGTCTGCGCTGCTGGCCGCTCGAGTACTTCCTTTTGGAGTACGGCAGCTGCAGGAAAACAGTTCCTGAAGGAAGGAACGCAGAAGTTTGTCAAGTTCAAGAAAACAAAAAAACAATGCAGTTTTGCTGTTTTTTATGCTGTGATGTGACAAACCTGTTACATGGATGTACTGGGGCTTGTTCTCAGAAGGAAAATTAAAAGCAGAAGGAGAAAACTTGTCGTGCACAAATCCAAATCTGGTTAAAAAAGCACAATGACACAGACTATTAGGGTCAGGACTCAGAACGTCAGAATCCTAAATTAAAAAATTAGGTTATACTTGAAAACATTCTGACTGTAAAATATGACATTTTGATCAAAAAATAAATATAAGTTTGCAATAAGATGAATTATATTTTAGATCTAACTTAGCTATGTGGCTAACAATCTGTGCAAAAATAAGATTTTTCAGGAATCATGTAACATTTTGAATCATACAATGAAAAGCACCACTGTTAGGAATCTAGGAGTTCTTCTTGATCAAGATATGTCTTTTAGCTCTCACATCAGGCAAGTTTCAAGAACAGCCTATTTTCACCTTCGTAATATATCCAAGATCAGGAATATCCTGTCGCAAAATGATGCAGAAAAACTAGTTCATGCATTTGTTACCTCCAGATTGAATTATTGTAACTCTCTTTTGTCAGGGTGCTCTGGCAAATCTCTAAAGACTCTTCAACTGGTCCAGAACGCTGCAGCTCGTGTACTGACCAGAACTAGGAAAAGGGACCACATTACTCCTGTCTTGGCTTCTCTTCACTGGCTCCCTATACAGTCTAGAATATAATTCAAGATCCTTCTTCTCACTTACAAAGCTCTAAATGGCCAGGCACCATCTTATCTTAAGGAGCTACTAGTGCCGTACTGTCCCTCGAGAGCATTGTGGTCCCGGAGTGCAGGCCTGCTGGTGGTACCTACAGTCTCCAAGTGTACTATGGGGGGTAAAGCCTTCAGTTATCGGGCTCCTCTCCTCTGGAACCGCCTTCCAGCCGGGGTCCGGGAGGCAGATACAGTCTGTATTTTTAAGAATAGACTTAAAACTTTCCTTTTTGATAAATCTTATAGTTAGGGCCGGTGCTGGTGTAGACCAGCTCTTAGTTATGCTGCTATAGGCTTAGACTACCGGGGGAACTGGCACCTTGAGTCTCTCAGTACATCATATTACTGCATGTATCTATCTGTAAATCTCAGTCACTAACCACCTACTTTCCTGGGAGCTTTTGAGCTCTCTTAGGCTCCTCAAGATCGTTGGAGGATCGTTTTCTTAGCACTGTAACTTTTGCTGCTTTGCTAAAGTGCTCATGATGGATAGGCCGGATCTTTGTAACATAGCAATAAGTAAGGTCTTTTACCTGCTCTTTTGTAATGTTAACAGACAAAGAGTAAGGTATTTTACCTGCTTTTTGTAAAGTGTCTTGAGATAACACTTGTTATGAGTTGACGCTATACAAATAAAATTGAAAATTGAAATTGAATTGAAATTGAAAAATGTTCATTTAATCAGAAAGTACCTTCTCTTCTTTCCATTGACTATGGCATCTTATTTTATTGCACACCATGAATGTTAAAAGAATCATTGAGAACAAAGAGATATTCTGTTTGTTAAATCTGAAAGTCTTTGCGTGCTAAACTTGTCCTTCCACCACTCAGTATTCACTTCTCAAAAGGTTCCATGTTGTCCCTATTAAAGTCAAGAAAAACAAAACGTCACAAACCGGTACAGTATGGCCTCCTGAAAGAGCTGCATCCTGTCCCAGTACGTCTCTGGTTCAAAACCTGTTAGATCAAAATCAACATGTTTAGTGGCTGAGCTTATGCACACAGGAACATTAAGTCACATAGCCTCTATACCTTCAAACAGGTTGTCACTGCTGTTCTTTAGCAGACAGTGGATGTTCAGAGGAATGAAGAGCTGGGCCCTCAGTGGATCTCCATAAAGGTAAGAGGTCAGTGCAAAGGGAACCTCCAGCACAGGGACCAACAGGAAGCCGCAGGAGGCTGCTTTCCTGTGCCAGCCTTGAACCTGAGAGAGAAGATTTGAGCTATTCCTTCTGTCCTGTATCCTATCCCGAACCCTAACCCAGGACCAACTTTAACTCAAGTACTTGCACATGAGCGATCTTTGAACAAAGGGTTCTTGTGTGTCTTTGCATGTTCTGTAATTTAAGCTTGAGTGCCAAAAGGTGTAACACTTGAAGATTCAGCACTCCACTCTGCAGTAGCTACTCCTGGGTGTTTACTCAGTTGTTGACAGTTCTGTCACCGGTCATAATGCATTGTAAAAAACTAGAAAGACTATTAAGCAGAATTTGTAGAGAAATTCTACAATGTCAGTTGATTATATTGTTGCATAAGAAACACAAACATGTCAAAGATAAGATAGTGATAAATCCTTTCATCCTGTTTTAGAAAGCTCTGGTAGATTGATTTGGCTTTTCACTCTTAATTCTGTGTTTTTTTTTACCTAATCGTTATTGAATGCTGTTAGTTTTTGTATGTGTCCCCTCTGTCCTATGATCAAACTTTGTATGGGATCAAAGTTGCTAAACTTTTCAGAACTTGTTGAGATCCCCGTTTATTAGAATCTACGTTTTCAAATATAACGCCTTCATGTGTCACTTGATGTACATGTGATGTAATTACCATCTCAAAGAGCACAGCAGCAGTGACGGCCATCCAGTGAAGCTTTATCTCAAAGGCAGCATTCAGGGAGAAGTTTCCATGGTAATAACAGCTGCACCACTCGGTCCGCTCACTGCGGTTGTTTACATCCACGTCCAGAGTGACTGTCTTCTGCTCGGGGACAGTAGCAGCTGGAAGACAGATGGAGAGACAGTAAGACACAAAGCAGGAATGCAAAAGATGGAGAGATGATAGCAGCAGGCGGAGGGAGGAGTGAAAGCAAACTTTATATTTATAGAGTGTGTTTGAGTCTGCCATGATGAGACGTTGGTGAAAAGTCAAATATAAAACCCAGGGCTCAATCTGAGATAACGTCTTTACATATTCATGAACAGTGTTTGTGACATGACTTTGTTACATAAATAAGATGTTTCAGAAATTCCAATATATACACCAATAAACCATTTTATGTCAGGGCAAACTACTTGTACAATACTATACTAATAAATGTAAAATAAACGTATCACGAATACTAATTTTTTAAAAATGAATATAAAATGTTTTAGTTTAAAACAGAAAACTATCAGAGTTATTTGGGGAGTCTTACTAAAACATGTACGACCCATGGACATTTCATTTGACCTTCATTTGTTTATATTTTCTTTCATCTCATTTGTAAAGCAGTTTAACCATATTATTAATAATATTGTAAAGTAGTGTTGTATAGATTTACACTGAAGTGTGTATTTCAACAAACAGTGTTCATCTCCACATTGACCCACAAACACTAAGGTCAACAAATATAAATATATATTAATGATAAAAGCATCAATTAAAGACTTCTGCAGGAAACCAATAAAAGATGAGAGACGGCAAACAGGAAAAGAAGTCAGTTGCAAAGTTGTTGTTTTAAAGACGTATATGATGCAGAAGAAAATAAAAAAGATGTTAGGTCACAGGTGATAGTGGCATGAAGCAAGAATAAAAACACTGTCACAACATTCTGTGTTGTTGTGAAAGTGATTCATGTTCAAAAGTCGGGAGGAGAGCGACGGGGAGGACAGAGCACACCACATGACTACTGAACCACAGCCGCTAATACCCACAGCATGCACACCAAATACTACACACTGACTACACGGCATCCACTGATTGAAAATTTGGTCATCATTCAATTTGGTGTCTTCATCAAACATTGACAGAGTTGGTAAGGACAGATAAATAAAAGTAGGACTAGAGGAGACACACTGATCTATAGACCAGATGTTCAATGCAGATCTACAGACCACTGAGAGGTCCAGTGTCTCCTCATCACACCTACAAACAGATGACAAATCATGTCACCAGATATCAAATCAGTTCTGTGTTGAAGATTGGAATCATAGTGTTGGAGATGGATGATTATTAATGATTTGTAACAACATCTGATGTTTAAATAAAGGCCTCATTCTTTGGCTACATTACATTTTGTTTTGAATATTCAACATTTGGTTTATAAAAAAAAAAACATCTTCCTTTTTTTTTTTTTACAAAACCTAGTCATTACACTCAGATCACTTTTTTTAATAGCTTCACTAACTCAGGCAGCTTATTTGCATTTTTTTTAACTATTTATGTAAACATTTTATTTAACCATTGGAAGAGTTGTCTTCTACATGAGAACATTGTTTACCAGTGGTAGAACCAGTGAGTGGAGTGGCTCGCCTATTATAACTATTCAGAGTTTAAAAACTACATGGCCCAACTCCATCACGATAAGATAAGATGTTGAAATATTTATGATCAGTTTGTAGGATTTAGTAGCATCTAATATGGGTTGATGCCGTTTCAGGGTTTTATGACACTGCCAACCAAAGAGCCTTTAAATCAAGATGATCTGCATTGAACTGGTTGAAGGCAGATTGTGGCTCCTCGGCGGTGTGGATTGGGCTGGGAGGATGGAGCTGGCTGTACCTAGCAGTGCAGCAGCCTGGCTGCGTCCTCCAAAGCTGCGGCTGAAGGAGCTGTGCCTACTTGCGTAAGAGGCTGGCCGGCTGGGCAACCAGGGCAATAAAAAGGCCGGGAGGTTGCAGGCTTGAGGCTCCTCCAGCACAAAAGCCACCTCAAACCATTTCCTCTGGAACATGGCAAAGTCCTCCCGTGCTGCAGTAGACCACCCTACAGATGCAGAGGGAGGGGGCGGGGAGGTTGGACCTGCAGAGGACACAACAGAATGTTGACAATATGCTCTCCAAACCTTTACATATGACCTGACAATTGCATTTCTACGTTGAATATTAAAGATCCATATGGCCTCTGAATGCGTTTATATGGATTCACCATCCTTCTCTCCCACTATCCTGTAGAAGTAGAATCCATAGACAAAGGTGCGCATGGCATCTCCTGAAGCGTGAGCCACCAAACCTTCATCCAGCATTTTCTACACAAAGCAAACAAACAGAAAACATTGACTACATAATCCTAAAGAACAGAATTTCAGAAAGAAAAAGGGTCTCTTCTTTTTAAACATCCTCTGACTTTTTAAGGGATACTTTGGATGAGCTTAGACTGTCACTAATGTCTGCAGTAAAGAAGCATCTGGTCTGCAAACCTGCTCATTTAGAACAACTATTACCTGCATGATATCTACAGCCATTCCCTGAGTGGCCATGCCCTCCACATTGTTGACAAGCCAATGAACGACCTCGGCACTAATGAAGCAGTTGATTGGTAGGCCCTTTTGTTCTGGAAGCAGCTGTACCCCTGTCCTGTTACAGAAAACACAATACTATGAGAAGACTGATAAAGGAATGACAATAAAGAATGATTCAGATTAAATACTAAAGTTCTCTTTAAAGGTGTCTGATCTATGAAGAATCAGAATAAATAAAGCATTAGAAGAACAACTGAGAGGTTGTTTTTTTCTGAGCCATGCTCCTGAAACCAAACAAAAAAAATTGAGTTTTACGTGGGATGTTTGATGGCTTCCAGGATCTCCAGGAGTGTTGAGGAAGAAGAGAGGGAAAGAGCTCCTGCTGCAGACTGCCCACTGAGAACACATACATGATCAGTGGTATGCACAGGTTGTATTTTAGGCCTGCCTTATTGAAGTCAACTAATATAAGCAAACAAAGAAAGATTTAGTTTGAGTCACTTTTCCATTCAAATGTTTTTCAGAGTTAGGAGTTTGATGCTATAAAATACAAATGTAACAATTGTAAAAATATTTATCTAGAAATCTCTTCTTTCTTTAAATTGATAGTGTTAAGTATTGAGTACATGAGGTATGAGGTTACCTGGTGTCCGTGGTGTTGCTGTTGCTGGCTGCAGTCTCTGATACAGACGCTGCTGCTGCTCCAGCTGTCATTGAAGGAGGGACTCCTTTATCTGCAGCCTCGTTGGCATCAGCTAACTACACAGATAAAGGCACTTCATTCATTAGATGGTCAGCATGTTTCCCCAAATCAGAGCAAATTGGAGAGCATTAGTTTTCAGTGTTTAGATCACATACTGACAGAAGTATTGGTCCCCTAGCCCGACATGCAGACGGAACATGTCTGTACCTCAATACTGTGAAAATGTTCATGGTTCTTGTCTGAAGAGAAAGCATTATGTTCTTATAGAAACCTGGTTATTCATATCCAGGTATGACTCCTCTACATCCCTTACATCTGACTTTTTGTACTGAAATGATCATTGGTTGCCTATATATCTTTCATCTTTTACTTCATGCATCGATCAGGCTTCTATCTCATTGTTTCAAAATGTGACTAATACAGCTTTTATTGGACTACTGCATCATCCTAACTTCGACGCATTTACCCTACCCCTGATTAGGGAAGTGGCCCTTGGGAACAAAGCTACAAGGGTTGAATTTTTCATAAGGAAAAGGGACACAGCTCAATATGCCTTACTTTTTTCTTAATTCATACATGCAACATGAACTGTACACTCAGTCAAAAATCATTGCTTACACAAAGTCCTTCTGACAACTCGAGAACCCATTTTCCTCAAAATCTTAAATCAATGTCTCTGTATTGTTTAATTAAAATAATGCATTTCCATGTTAGACTGCCTCATTTTGCAAAGCATTATGGAATGTCTCTTAATTTGTGGTCTGCAATGTGAAAACATCCCATTTGACTGGTCAGATGACCAATATCTCCCAACGCCTAACAAGACCATCTTATCACCTTGGTAGTGTGCAAATAGGAGCAGCTTTCTGAAGTCACCTGTTTTGGTAATGAATGGTATTCTGGTTTTGATCATATTTAAGATATTATATATGCGTGAATGGACTCAAACCAATCTGCATATGCTCTTTAAGGTAAGATTATAGAGCTACCAGCAGTTTAATTTGTTGCATTATTATAACTGTAGTAAAATGTATTCAGACTCAGAGCACAGATTTTTGTCAATGGATATACATAGAGAATTTCATATAATCCAAAATATTCAGACCTAGTGTAAATGACCTGCTCATGCATTAACTCAAGTTAGTCATGTTAGTAATGTGGGTTCACCTTAAAAGCGTGTGTGTTGTGTACAAGAGTGATCTATTAATTGTCAAACTAAATTATTTTCCTCTGTTTGGTTTGTGTCGAAAATGTTGGATGAAGGAAAAGTGGCCAATTCTCTGGGAACATTTTTGGAAAGACTTTCATCGATTGGAATGGATCCCATACGTGCACGGAAAAGTAGGACAGAGGGATGGTATATATATATATATATATATATATATATATATAATCTAGATATAGATTGTACTCACAGGCAAAAACAGTTGGCCAAAAGTTAGTAATTTATTTAGTAAGACTATATTCAGAAAATTAACAGATAAATCTTATTTCAGCAGTATACAACTATCAGCAGCTTGGACCCTTCGTATTTTTTTTGCCTTCATTAAAAAGGAGAGCTGAAGAGAGTCTGGAAATGTGAAGAAAAGAGACAGGCAGACATGCATCGAAAAGCGGGAGGCTAACGATGCCTTGAGAACTTTGCCTCTGTACATGTGGCGCCCTCTTTATCCCATCTCTCCCCTATCCCTTTCCAAGCCCGGCGCAGTCTAGGCCTATGAAGGCTGTTTCGTCATGAGCCGGGGATCCAGCCAAAGATTTCTGCCTTTTAATAAGACAGTTTTTCTTACCACTGTAACTTTTGCTGCTAGATAGGCTGGGTCTTTGTAATATAGCAATAAGTAAGGTCTTTTACCTGCTTTTTGTAACATAACAATAAGTAAGGTCTTTTACCTGCTTTTTGTAACATAACAATGAGTAAGGTCTTTTACCTGGTCTTTTACCTACCTGAGTAAGGTCTTTTACCTGCTTTTTGTAAAGTGCCTTGAGATAACACTTGTTATGAGTTGACGCTATACAAATAAAAATTGATTGATTGATTGATTAATTAAATGCTGTCCTGGTGTAAGAGTTGACAATGGCACACTTCGAGCAGGCTCCAACAATACTGGTCACAGAGAACATTTTTTAAAACAGGGGATAACTACAATCTGCTGGGGCACCGCCACTTAAACATCATGCCTCCAACACACCGCAATGTTTGTACACACAATGCAAATGCAGAAAAGCAGAAATGCAGTGATGCAAAGTGATTTGATGAAACTACAGCACACACACAACAAAACACACAGCTTTAGTGATGCACAGGGACCTCGTTACTAACCTGAGAGTAATAGATGTAGGACGAGCGAGGGCTACGTATAAAATCCAAAATAAAGGCAGCATCCTGTCAGCATACAGGAAGAACATAACCAAGGATCAAACACCCAAAGCTTAGCAAAAGGAGCAGAACTAAGGCGTGGAGAATAAAGCAGATGGAAAGAGACACAACACCAAAAGTCCCAGTCCCAAGAACAAGCAACAAAATCAATGTTTTCCAAGTATCTGTTATTGATTAACATATATTCCAATTTCTCTACAGCAATGTGAATTAACTTTTTCTAATCATACATATTAAAGATGCTTACCCTCCGGGGACTGTCAACGTATGTGGGAGCTGTGGCCACACTTGTGAGGTCGCCGACAGTTGTTTGGGGTTTTGCCTGCTGCTGCTCCTCCAGTGTCCTGGGACAAAAGAAATGGAAAGAGTTAGCAGTGAGATTTGAAGGGGCAAATGCAAATATTTGGGGATTGCTTTCCTGGGAGACACTCACTTCTGGTTCTGCTCCATCTCCAGCAACGCTGACAAAGCTGAAGTGCCTTTTTTGCCTTGAGGGGGTGCCAAAGGTTCAGTAGGAAAGGGAAGGGGATGAGTGGTAACCTGAAGTCCTTTCAATGGTGTGCCCTTCTGTTATGCAAAAAAAAGGGTAAAATAAAAATGCTGAGTGTACATTAGCACATAGATACAGTAAAAACTGCTGGTTTACTTCATGATTCTAAATGGGTACCTCTGTACAAGAAAAAGGCAATATTTAATGTTATGTATTATTAGTAGCTGCATATGTAACAAGTCATCTGTAGGACATCTGACCACTGCTGTTCTCAAGTCTTCCCTTTAAGTTGACCTCGACTATAAACTCACAAATACAAAAATTTCAAATGACCTCTGATCAAAGAAGAGTGCTCTTATTATTATTTCTTTATACAACGTTTTTTATGTAAATGATGAATAACATTAAATGCCATGATTATCAAAATGAAGAGTGCAATCTCTTTCAGCACAGCACTGAAATATTTTGGCTCTTGAGGGGACAAGATGTATTGTGCCATGGATAATTCTGTAGTAGTAGTTCAAATGTTTCTCATTGAGCAGAAAAGTTAAAACCAAAATGCAACTATTAAAACTTCGGTTCAGTTCTCTTTTGGGATGAACAGTTCTGATTTTGAACCTTACTTTAAGAACAACAAACAATGCTCATTACATGTTTGAACATCCACAACATATTGCTTTAGACCTGCTCTTATTATTGAGTGTTCTGGTATAACTTTTGTGAAATACATACAATTTGATTGATTGTTTGTTCCCCTTCTTTGGATTTGGGGGAGGGCTATGCAATTACCTTATCCTAGTTTTCTTAGTCAATAACTTTTTACCCACAGTCAAGAGTAAACTGCGTACCACTCCTGCGTACTCTCTGGTTGTGGACAAACCGGAATGATGGACCCCCTTTAATTTTTATATGAAATGGCAACTCAACATCTAGTTCACAAAACCCAAGAACACTGCGAATGACTCATAATTCATGATTTGGCCAACACTGCTCAGTCACCAGGCAAAATACAGTGACGAAACAGACATTCATTAAACTGAAATCTCCAGATCAGAACTCTACATGTGTGACGTAAAAGTAAATGCAGTAGTACACAACTATTCTCAGTGAACGTCTTAAGTATGAAAACGTACTTATTTTGCTAAGTTTCTTCTGTAAGGGATACATTCATCATACCATTATAATATGTTTCAGCTAAAACCACTGATCCACTTTATTATCAAATCTTAGTCGTTATATTTTCTTTAAAGTAGTTAAAATGTCTTTTCAAATGTATTACTTGGCTTCCCCAAACATTGTTATGCATCATGTTTCAAATGCTCTTTTTTGTATAACAATGTGGAGGAACTATTAAAATAAGCAGGAAATAAATAATCAGTTGAAAGAGAGATGAAGTGATGTAAAGAAAAAAATCTTTCCTGTTAAAAGAAGTATGAATAAAAACAGCAAAACACCTGGGTGTTAATCAAATTAGAAAATCTATACTTGCCTCATCATATCAGGTCCATATATAAAAAATGTATACTGTCTGATATTTACAAGCACTACAATTGATTTCAAAATGCTCACTTTGAGGACACACTAATTGTGAAAATGTTTTCATGATGCATTCAATGTACAAGCGTAAACCAGGAGAGGCTCACTCTGATAATCCTGTCAGAGCGATGGCGACGACGGATGCGATTGAGGCCCTCCAGGTAGCGGATAAAGCCATCCAGTAAGACCCAGTCTCCGCTGCTGCTCATCCCAGCACCAGCTCCGTCCCCATAAACATCCCAGTGACCCTCCCCATCTGCCACACGCCGAGCTCCACCAGCTGGAAGCAGGAGGAAGCGAGTCCGCCAGAACTTCAGGGAATCAATCAAACTATTGGGCAGGACAAAGGCAAAGTATCACATTTAATATATTTAGTCAAATCATATTACAAAATGTCTTCTTTAGTGTACATCAGTGATCCTCACTAATTTTTCTTTGAGAGCCATACGACAGGACAAAGTCACCATGAGAGCCATTTTTACCACAGTTTATCAAAAGCTGTCTCCAGTCATTAAAATCATGTCTGCTTATTCATTTGTCATCCCACAACATACATCATACAATGCAGCCAATAAAATCCTAATTAAAAGGCAGGCCTACTTTTTTTGATGTGTCGTTTGGAAATGGTGCTCCTAATTACTTGGCTTTAAACCTGACCGGGTTTGTTTGCATATTAAACACAAAGGGTTAAAAAAATCTTCTGTCCATTTGTCTTGGAATTTCCGTTGCTCATCTTGTATGGCTCGTACTTTTCTTTTTTTGACTGTCCACTAGTCCCCTCTCCGGCATCTTCTTGATGAGCCTCATTTTCCTCGTTAGTCACATTATCACATTGTTGTTTCTGTCCAACTGTTTTGCGTCTTTTTTTGATCAAAAATCGATCGATTTTTTGTCTGTGAACTAGCTAACATGAATATTGAAAAAGCCGCACACTCCAGCCGAGTTATTGTTGTTATGGCACTATTGTGTTGTGTTGGCAGGTTGGTCACGGTGTCCTCTAATTGAGCAATATATTTTTATTAAGCCCAAATATTTTTGTGAAAACTATCAAGCCATTGATGAGGGTATGCATGACATTGTTAATGACTTAAAATGATTGATTTTCTACACCAGTCCACAACTGATTTACCTGTTCCGCAGCTCATTTGCCATGATAGTTCTGGAGAGGCCGCTAAATCTGGCAACACTGCCGGAGTCATTGCAGTGCCGAACAGCTTGTTTCTAACATTAGTCTATTTAACACCATTCTTATAATTTCGGTTTTGAGTATTTTTATGAATTAATTTTAAAAGAGCAGTAGTTTTAAATGTTTTAAAGGGGTAACATGTAATAGCGCTCGTTTAGAGTGTTTTTATGAAACATCTGTATTCCCTGCATTACAATGTTACAACTCACTTAGCAGATGCTTTTATCCAAGTACATCAGAGAGTAAGTACAACACTAATCCATTCATACACCCACCAAAGCAGAGGGAGCAATAAGTATCTTGCCCAAGGACACATCAGACATGTTGTTCAGCTGGGGATCAAACCTTCGACCTTCCAGTTGAGAGACTCTCTACCAACTGAGCCACAGCCGCCCCCATTCATTAATAATTATTTACTGCCGTGCGAGCCGCAAGTTAAAGCTTGGCGAGACGCCCCCCCAATGAGTAACACTGGTATAAATGAATAAACACCTGAATTACTGATTACAGTTACTTCAAGGAACTTCCGGTTGAGCAGCCATGAGGGTAACAGCCTAACTTCAGAGCTCCCTGACCCTACGTCTAAAACGCAGTCTTTTTGCACTTTAAATTAATTGAAAATCTCAAAATATGAATAAGGCGTTGATGATATGAAAGGGGGAAGACGGAAAACCGCTGTGCATGCTGAAGAACAGTTCTATCTAGCAAACAAAAATTCTGCAGACGAGGAAGGTGACGGCGAACTCCACGAGCAGGAGGGACTTACACCGCAACAAGCTAACGAAATGGCTAACCTGCAGACCATACTCCAGGGATTGAGGGACTAAAAACAGGGTCACTCTCCGAGATATTAAAGAAGACATTAAAACTACTAACAAAAGATATGATGATGCCGAACTCCGAATCTCAGAAACAGATGACAAAGTACAAGTAGTTGAAGTAGTTTTGGAGATGCTAAAAGTACAAGAGAATCTGGAGGCCAGACTCTCGGACCAAGAGGGTCGTGCCAGACGGGACAACATTAGACTGCACGGCATAACAGAAGGATCGGAGGATAACACGGCATCAATGATCACATTCGTAGAGGGTTTGCTAAGAGAGAAGCTGGAAATTCCTGGCATTACAGATCTTAGGATCGAAAGAGCACACCGATCCCTGGGACCAAAACCGCCACCAGAGTCCCCCCCAAGATCAATAGTGGTCAAGTTTGCAAGTTTCAAAACTAAAGAGGAAATTTTAAAGATGGCCTGGCAGAAAAAAGGGTTTATGCATCAGGAGAGAAGGATGATACTTGACCAATCCAGCCGTCAGCCGTCAATCCATCGCGGCTCCTTTAGGGTCACAAATAAGACCTCGGGACTTGAATTTTCAAAAAAAAAAAATCGAAACATTTAAACGTTCTATTCTTCTGTTTTTTTGTTTCGTGTCTGTTCACAGTAAAGGGGGAAAGGTACATTCTGTGTTGTCTGGTTGTCCCTACCTTTTTTATCTTTCCTTCAATTGTGTACCCTCCCTATTTAAATGATGTTTGTAAATCTGTTTCTTGATGACCCCGATGAAGGCCAAGAGCCGAAACCCGTCGGTCTAAAGTGTTAATAAAGTTGATCTTCTTACTACAAGTGTTGCTGGAGCATTCTGACCTCTTCACTGCACACCAGAAATACATGGCTGAGCAAACAACACCTGTCAGAGTAGTAACCTGTAATGTAAAAGGTGTCCTCAATCCCGTAAAAAGGAGCAACATTTTTAACAAAATGAGAAAAGAAAAAGCAGAAATAGTTATAATAAAGAAACCCACTTAACAGATCTAGAACATACTAAACATAGCAGACAGGGCTTCAACCTGGTGTCATCATCATCGTATAAATCAGGATGCAGAAGAGGTGTAGTGTGGCTTCTCTTCAACTCAAAATCAATCCCGCAAGCGCTGCTAATTAAGGTTACAGAGACAGAGGCTCAGAGGGATTCAAACCATCCCAGCTGAACCTCCAAACAGACAATTCCTAGAACTTGACAAAATGATTTCAAGGTTTATTTGGCAGGGCAAGAAGCCTCGGGTAAGGTTCAAGACCCTCCAGTTACCTAAGGAGAAAGGTGGCCTTTCCCTCCTGAATATCAGAAACTATTATAGAGCTGCACAGAAATAGAGAGGAAGAGAACAAGAAATAAATATGCCTGTCAAGTGATATCCCCCTGTACGCTGTTATTGGGGACAGTGCTTTAATTAAACACATAAAAGAGGCCAATCCTTGGATAAAGACTTCTCTTAAACCCTGGTTTCATGTGATGACAGTACATCGAGCCAAGGGACCATTCGAGCTGTTGAGATGGATAGCCTATGATTCCAATTTCATACCCAAGACTGAAATAACATTCAAAAAATGGGCGGTAAAATTCAGCGATCTCTATACAAACGGCAGCTTTAAGACTTTTCAGGAGCTTAAAGATCATCACGGCCTAACAGAGACTTTTACAGGTTTCTACAACTTAGACATTATACTAATAAATTAATAAGAAAGGATGACTTAGTCAATATGAATTCTGCCATTTTGAAGGTTTTCTTAAAGGCCTACGACTCAGATCCAGGCCTTAGAAACGAAAGGAAAAATGGGAAAAGGAAGGAAATCGTACATTACATTCTGAAGTATGGGAGAAACTCCACAAACAACAATGGAAAAGTACACCTGGAGAGAGTTCAGGTGTACTGTTGTTCAAGTATTTTACGACTTGAACAACAGAAGTTTAAAAGTTGTTGGACACCTTGGACCACTTTTACATCATCATCAAATCCTACTACAACCAATCTCAAAATATGGACCTAATACACCTCTTCCCCCTAAGTTTTCATTTTGTTTTTTATTTTTTGAGCTACTAAATTGTACATAGTTTATTGTTGTCAATACAAGTTTTTCTGATCCAGGAACACATGCAAGCAGCTAGGCCTAGATTAAGTTTATCTATGTAAGCCGGGACATGTACATGTATATACGACAACAATCCTATTCTCGGCATATTACTCACAATGGCTTTGCCAAGCTTTGAATTTCCTTTAACAAAATGTTTATTTGTCTCACCACTATTACCACCTCATATAAGAATGTTTAGACAACTGTGTCTTATTCCTGTTTTATTGTATCTCTTTACTTTCTGAAAAATGTTTGTAACTTTGACTAGCTGCAAAACATGTTTCAATTTTGCTCTGAAGAAAAATGTAATTAAAAAAATAAATAAATAAAGTTACTTCACAACAAACACAACTTTAATACATATTAACAGTTTCAGCTCTGAAACCACCAAAGGGTTAAAGCAGTGGTTTGAGTTTAAATACCTGAAGTCTTCAGAGCCAGCAGAACAGATGTATTGGTCCAGGTAGTTCCACTTATATTCCTCCAGTCTTTCATGGCCAAACTCCACCCAGCAGAAAACAAACTGAGCATCAGAGTGTGGAGGACACAAGCTGTAGCTGTACGGTATCTGAGCTGACTCATACGGGTACCTAGAATTAGAGAAGAATTAGTTATTTGTTGAGCTCAATATGCTATATATAAATTCCTTTTCCATGTATATATGTTCTCTGGCCTATTGTGGAACCTCGGATGCAGGAGAAACATTGCAGATTCTGTCCTGGCTGTAGGATAGTGGACCAACTATTTACTCTTCCAGGACTTTAAAAGGGACGCAATGGAGTTTGCCTTCCCAGTCTACATGTCTCAAGTGGTTTGTGAACTTGGAGAAGGTCTATGATTGTGTCACTAGGGGTCATGTGGGAGTATGGGATCCATCTGGTCCCTGTGCATTCCCTTCACTATGTTCACGGGGCTTGTTATTCTCAACCAGGGTTGTCCCTTATTACCGACAGTGTTTGTGATTTTCATGAATCAGAATCGGGGTTTATTGCCAAGTACATTTACACATACAAGGAATTTGACTTGGTGTATTGGTGCTAAACAATTAACAGGGAAATAAAGCAGAACTAGCAACAACTTCAATAATACAGTATAAGAAGCTATTACAATACTTAAAATATAATTTAGAAATGTAAAATATAGACTTCCGGTTGAGCAGCCATGAGGGTAACAGCCTAACTTCAGAGCTCCCTGACCCTACGTCTAAAACGCAGTCTTTTTGCACTTTAAATTAATTGAAAATCGCGAAATATGAATAAGGCATTGAGGATATGAGAGGGGTAAGACGAAAAACCGCTGTGCATGCTAAAGAACAGTTCTCTCTAGCAAACAAAAATTCTGCAGACGAGGAAGGTAACAGCGAACTCCACGAGCAGGAGGGGCAGATCATACTCCAGGAACTGAGGGACTTTCGTTGTGAAAACGGGGTCTCTCTCCGAGATATTAAAGAAGACATTAAAACTACTAACAAGAGAATGAGACGATGCCGAACTCCGAATCTCAGAAACAGATGACAAAATACAAGCAGTTGAAGAAGCCGTTTTGGAGATGCTAAAAGTACAAGAGAATCTGGAGGCCAGACTCTCGGACCAAGAGGGTCGTGCCAGACGGGACAACATTAGACTGCACGGCATAACAGAAGGATCGGAGGATAACTCGGCATCGATGATCACATTCGTAGAGGGTTTGCTAAGAGAGAAGCTGGAAATTCCTGCCACCACAGATCTTAGGATCGAAAGAGCACACGATCCCTGGGACCAAAGCCGCCACCAGAGTCCCAAGATCAATAGTGGTCAAGTTTGCAAGTTTCAAAACTAAAGAGGAAACTTTAAAGATGGCCTGGCAGAAAAAAGGGTTTATGCATCAGGAGAGAAGGATGACACTCGACCACGATTATGCCCCAGATGTCCTTAAGAAGCGTCGGGAATACACGGAGGCAAAGAGGGTCCTTAGAGAGAGGAAACCTCGATTTCAAACCCAGTTCCCGGCTAGGATGAGAGTATTCTATGAGGAGGAGACGCGTGTGTACAACTCTGCAGCTGAGGCCACCAAGGATATGGCGAGACGCGGACTCCCGGTGTCTGTGTTCAAAGCACCCGCGAGTTGGTCCGACAGGATTAAATCTTCAATGTGGCACACATCTAGGGTTTGGGAGGAGAAAAACCAGCAGAAACTCCGCAAATGGGATATAAAAAGGAACTGGAGGCTTTCAGAACAGATTGACTTTTACACGGGACCATGCACGGCGTGTGAGGAATTTCACTACACTGAGGTAAAACCTTTTTGACAAATGTTTCGTTAGCCTGTATATAGGCTTGTCTTTTTTCCTATCGTGATGTAGTGAAATAAATAGCAATGCAAAAACTTATGGGTGCTTCCCCGGGACTTGTCAAAGACACTGTTCATTTAAGGGTCTCTGACGCGGGTTAAACGAATGACTGTACGCAAGCACTGTATGGAAGCAACAGAGGAGGGCTCTCCACAACCTGAGCGGAGCGGAGAAAATCCCTCTGAGCCGTCAATCCATCACGGCTCCTTTAGGGTCACAAATAAGACCTCGGTACTTGAAGTTTCATTTTTCTTATTCGAAACATTTAAACGTTCTTTTGTTCTGTGTTCTGTTGTGTTTTTGTTTTGTGTCTGTTCGAGTAGCAAAGGGGGAAAGGTACGTTCTGTGTTGTCACTGCACTCCAGAAATACATGGTTAAGCAAACAACACCTATCAGAGTAGTTACCTACAATGTAAAAGGTGTCCTCAATCCCGTAAAAAGGAGCAAAATTTTTAACAAAATGAGAAAAGAAACTCACTTAACAGATCAAGAACATAATAAACTTAGCAGACAGGGCTTCAACCTGGTGTTTATCATCATCGTATAAGTCAGGACGCAGAAGAGGTGTAGCAACACTAATATCTGCAAAATTATCTTTTGAAAAACTTTTTGACATCAAAGACAAAGAACGTAGATTTAATATGGTTATTGGAAGATTAGATGGTGTAGAGCTCACTCTGCTAAATGTATATGCCCCTCCAGGGGCTAAATGGGCGTTTTATAAATACATATTTGATTTAATGATTGCAAAAGCACAAGGTATAATAATTTGTGGTGGTGATTTCAACCTACGACTGAATACAATGAGAGATGCCTCAGGAAATAACAGTAATCCAAATAATTCAATTAGTAGGAAAATGAGAGGGTTGTTAAAAGAAATGGGAATTTGTGATGTTTGGAGGGAGTTAAATCCTACATCAAGGGACTACACTTTCTTTTCTTCTCCCCACTCATCCTACTCCAGGATTGATTTTTTTTTTTTATGTTTAATAAAGATATCGGTTGAATAAGTAATTGTAAAATTGGATTGATGGCTCTATCTGACCATAGCCCTGTGTATATGGACTTAGACATTAAGAATAGAACAAACAGTTTTTTGTGGAGATTGAATGCAAGCGTATGCTTGGTCAAAGGACCAACTAAACAAGAATTGCTAAGAGATATACAGACATACCTAAAATAAAATGACAATGGGGAGGTTTCCCCAATTATACTTTGGGATGCCTGTAAAGCAGTTATGAGAGGTAAAATTATTGCCAAGTCATCTCTCCTGAAGAAATTCAGACAAAAAAAACTGACTGACTTGGAAAAAGAATTGATTGAACTAGAAAGAAAAAATAAAGACAATACTGAACCAGACACTATTCACAAAATTCAAGAAGTTGAAAACCAAATAAATGAACTACACTCACAAGTAATTCAGAAGAAATTGGTATTTTTGAAACAAGGATACTACGAAATTGGTAGTAAGTCTACCAAATACTTGGCCTACAAACTAAACAAACAGCAAGCAGATAGAGTTATATTTAAAATTAAAGATCCGATAACGAAACAAGTAAAACACAAAACTCAGGAAATCCAAAGCTGTTTTGAATTATACTATAAAAACCTATACTCCAAAAAATGCAGTAAAGGAGACACGAGTACAGACAACCTTCTTAACTCACTAAAAGTTCCTACAATTACAGACGACCAGAATGCAGCCCTGTTAGCAAAAGTAACAGCAAAAGAGCTTGAATATGCAATATCAAAACTCAAAACATGCAAATCACCAGGTTCTGATGGATTCAGTGCAGAGTGGTACAAAACCTTTAAAGATTCTTTATAACCACTATTATTAAGGACCTTTAACTGGGTGCTTGAAGAGGGGGAATATCCTCCATCCTGGCACGAGGCTGTTATTGCTGTATTACCAAAAGAAGGGAAGGATAGGCTGGAATGTTATAACTTCAGGCCAATTAGCGTCTTAAACCAGGACTATAAACTCCTCCAATAAAACACAGTGGAAAGAAATAGAATGCCTGTTATCGTGTGATATTCCCCTGCAAGCTGTTACTGGGGACAGTGCTTTAATTAAAAAACATAAAAGAGGCCAACCCTTGGATAAAGTCTTCTCTTAAACCCTGGTTTCATGCGATGACAGTACATCGAGCCAAGGGAACATTCGAGCTGTTGAGATGGATAGCCTATGATTCCAATTTCATACCTAATAAGACTGAGACAACATTCAAAAAATGGGCGGATAACGGCCTGGTAAAATTCAGCGATCTCTATATAAACGGCAGCTTTAAGAGTTTTCAGGAAAGATCATCATGGCCTAACAGAGACTTTTACAGGTTTCTACAACTTAGACATTATACTGATAAATTAATTAAGAAAGGATGACTTAGTCAATATGAATTCTGCCATTTTGAAGGTTTTCTTAAAGGCCTACGACTCAGATCCAGGCCTTAGAAACATCTCTAAGTTGTACAATGGTCTGAATGAGCTGGATGGGGACAACACGAGTTACGAAAAGGTGAAGTGGGAAAAGGAAGGAAATCTTACATTAAATTCTGAAGTATGGGAGAAACTCCACAAACAACAATGGAAAAGTACATCTGCCCTGTCCTAGATAGGATGGAAAAATTGAAAAATTTGATACGTTTCTTTAAAACGTCTGTACAAAATAATTTTGTTAATAAAAACACATCCTGTTGGAGGTCTTGTGGGGAGAAAAAGGCAAACCACTACCATGTATTCTGGCAATGCCCGTTGCTCCAGAATTACTGGATTCAAGTTAAAAACGTTATGGAAAAGGTGCTCAAAGTGCCGATCCCGTTCAATTTTGCAACGCTCTATCTAGGTCTGCAGCCAGACAGCATTGAGGGCTTTTCCAAAAAATACTTGTTTAATATTCTACTGATATCAAGCAAGAAAGCTCTCACCAGAAAATGGATGTCAACAGACCCCCCCACGGTTGAGAACTGGATCGATGTAATCCATAATATTTTCGTGATGGAGAAACTCACATTTATTTTACGACTGGAACAACAGAAGTTTAAAAGTTGTTGGACACCTTGGACCACTTATACATCCTCATCAAATCCTACTACAACCAATCTCAAAATATGGACCTAATACACCTCTTTCCCCTAAGTGTTTACTAGTTTTCGTTTTTTTTTTTTTTTTGAGCTACTAAAGTGTACATAGTTTATTTTTGTCAATACAAGCAGCTAGGCCTTAAGTTTATCTATGTAAGCGGGGACACGTACATGTATTTAGATGTATACGACAACAATCCTATTCACTTACCCATCCCGGCATATTACTTTTACCCACAATGGCTTTGCCAAGCTTTGATTTTTCTTTTACAAAATGTTTATTTGTCTCACCACTATTACCACCTCATTTTATAAGAATCAGGGTTCGTACAGCTTTTTAAGAGTAAAATTCAAGCTCTTTTCCAGCACTTTCAAGATAAAATATCAACTTTTTCAAGGAAGCTGAAGCTTTAAATAGACTCTATATATACATAGATATGACAAATAATCCTCCCTGTTTACCTTCATTTCTGTTTTACTGTTGCTCTTTTGCAGAAAGGACAACCCAATTTACATACCAAGGGAATAATCCTCTATGAATGATAAATAAACACAATAACTTTAATTTCATTGAATCTTTACTTTCAAATTTAGCAAACATGTAATAAACATGTACATTTAATGTACTGTACGTGCAAACAATGCAAAGTTATGACAAATGCACATGCGTGCACATTAGGCAAACATTTAAACAAAATTTAATTGAATTCAAGTACAAATAATGCCCAAGTTGAGCAGGTCACGTCTCCACTGCTAGATGCATTATGTGGCTGTTGGAAAAAAGCCCCCAGGGAAGGACCTATGCTTTAAATGGTCTTGATGTTTCCTGCCTGAAAAAAAGGGGAAACAAATCAAATGTTATTGAGAGAAGCAAATTGGATAGTACGGCTCTCAACAGACCTTTATCAGTTTAGTTCACAAGAGCAAAATTACCATCTATCAGGTTAATAACAACATGACTATACCTATGCCATACTCATAATCAATAGGTCTAGATGTAGGCAATACTTGCTAATTACTAACTTATTTCTCTCGCACACGCACACAGTACATTTTAAGGAAACATTCAAGAATAACTAAGGGCAAATACAGCCTTTGCACAGAGTCCTTTTTCCCCCGGCTGAATAATTGCATGTAAAAAAATTATATATATATGCCTATAGAATAAATTATTGATTTTTTAAAAAAACTATTTCAAATAGGAGCTTGTGTATGACCACACACTCCCAATAGTGCTTGGTTGCTATGTTACAGTTTGTTGTCAAAAAGTGATCCTCTTCCAAAAAGGGATTTCAGTCAATAAAAAGGTAGTTCAGCCATAATACGTCCATGATTTCAGTATGTAAAAGGGACAAGGTGGGCTCTCTGGTCCAATAAAGCATCGGTACACATAACTGGGACACACCGCAACGACTCTGCCAGCAAATACTTTCTTGACTTCGACAACTTCACAAAATTAACATTTTGGATCTTGGTTCTGCAACTAATGTTACCAATGACCAATTAGGTTATACAACTTGTTATCAAATGAAAATGCATCGGGCTAGATCGGTTATCACCCAGCTAGGTGTAACGTCATGTTACGTTAGGATTAAGTAACTCCCGAGCTAACGTTATCTAGCTAACAACATGCATTTGATGCAATGAATCAATGAGAACTAGCTAGCCAGCTAATTGCTAACGGTTTTGAGCGTCAATTTAGCATGCTATTTCTTTGTATCGACAAGTCAATAACACACACACAAACTCAGAATTTGGTGTAACTTACAAAGGAGAACATGAATGAACAGTAATCCAAAGTGACATTGTCTGATATGATTAAACGAAAACTTTGTCTCAACTGACTTACCTTTGGCATGACTTGTAAGTGCAGATTCCCCCATTGTATACAGCTTGATGTCCTTTTTGCAGACCGAACAGTATGCCTGCCGGTCATTTGAGCCTCGTCGTAACCAATTTTTATATTTATCATTTTTAAGCCAGTTGGCATTGAAACGGCAACCTGGCATGGTAGTATCGAGAGCGATAGGTCCATGTGAGCAGCGACGTGGTTCTGGATAATTCCTGAAGCGATCGCCAGGTGAGGCGCGTGCGCAAGGAAAGAAAACACGGGGAGCAACACTCATACGAGACAGCGGAGAAAAAAACATAACGACTTAATTTTTTTTTTTTTTTACAGAATACAATTATTTCTATTTGTTAAATTACAACACTGGTCAATATAGAGTAAATCCAGCATTTTCCAGCACAGTGTTCAAATTTCAAGCACATTTCAAACCTTGAAAACACTATATTTAAAATCAAGTATTTTCCAGACTTTCAAGGCTCTGTAGAAACCCTGAAGAAGGTTTAGACATATGTGTCTTATGCCATCTCTTTACTTTCTGAAAAACGTTTGTATCTTTGACTAGCTGCAAAACATGTTTCAATTTTGCTCTGAATAAAAATTTAAATTAAAAAAAATAAAAATAAAAATAAATGTAAAATATAAAAAAATAAAGATAAAAAACACAAAATGTACAAAAGATGCAATGTAGGAGCTGTGCAGTGGACTATGAGAAAAAATCTTAATGTGTGTAACTAGCTGGCTTCATGCAGAGTGCATGTAAGCATGCACTGCATAACAGGATCTCCCGGCTGTGAGCCAGGAGGGGGATGCTTTTTGGATTGGGGGTCTCTAAATCTCATCTCTGCTTTTTGCAGATGATGCTCTGTTGGCTTCTTCAGGCCTGTACATCCATTAGGCATTGTGTGTGTGAAAAGTTGGGAAGAGGGTCAGCACCTCCAAGTCCAAGGTTATGGTTCTCTACTTAAGTAATGGTGGGTTGCTCCCTCCGAGTGGGGAATGAGTCATTGCCTCAATTTAAGGAGCTAAAGTATCCAGGGTCTTGTTCATGAATGAGGGTATAATGTATTTGTAAATTAACAGACAGGTTGGCACAGCATCAGCAGTTATGTAAGCATTGTACTGAACTGTATTGATGCAAGAGGGACCTGAGCCTGAAGGCAACGCTTTCAATTTACCATCTAGCACCAAACCTCACAGATGGTCATAAAGCTATGGACAATGAGACTGTTGAGCCAGAATGAATTGTGAAAGGATCCCGATGAGGTGGTTAATGCAACTGATTAGGATGCCTCTAGGACGCCTCCAACTGGAAGGAGTCTCCAGGGTAGACCCAGAGCTCAGTATTATGAATTGTAAATGGATTTCAAGAAAATTAATACATTTTTATTTGTAAAGCACCAACAAGTGTTATCTGGAGAGACTTTACAAAAAGCAGGTAAAAGACCTTACTCATTGTCTTTTAACATTACAAAAGAGCAGGTAAAAAGACCATACTCATTGTTATGTTACAAAAAGCAGGTAAAAGACCTTACTTATTGTTATGTTACAAAAAGCAGGTAAAAGACCTTACTTATTGCTATATTACAAAGACCAAGAGCAAGATTTGAGCTTGTATAGCACTTTTCTAGTCTTCAGAGTACTCAAAGAGCTTTTACACCGCAGGTCACACCTATACATTCACACACTGATGGTAGAGGCTGCTGTGTAAAGTGACCATCAGAAAAAACTAATCCCATTCACACACATTCATATGCCACCAACAAAGCAGTGTGTCATCCCCAAGAACACATCGGACATGTGGCTGAAGAAACCCCCGACCTTCAGGTTGAGAGACGACAGATTCTACAAACTGAGCCACAGCCCCTCCTCCCTTCTAACCTAGAATGAGAGAGGGATTTGAAGGACGACTTGCTTAGCATGCCTCCACCATGACTGGACCCCGATAAGTGGGAGAAAATGGATTGATAGCAAAACATGGGAAAAAGGCAGAATGAGTACTCGCTGCATACGAGGTTGCATACTCACTTGGGCAGGTAACGAGTAACTGTGATTATCTTGTCTTTGAGGCAGACTTTATGGAAAGTGCGGCCCATACTAAGCCAGTACACGTTCTCCTCCTCAGCTCGACGCAAAGACACAAGACCTGAAGAGAAAAAAACCCCAGAAAAAACACATCCAGTGGCAACAGTGGTTAAGTTTGTAAGTGAAGGTGGAAAGGCCATTTCAAATTGAATATCTTAATCTCAACAGATCAATCAAGGAATCAGGTTTATTTGTTACATGCATTGCTGTTTTTCTGACGTGGCAATACTTTTCCTATTAATGACACTCTCTGTGGTTCAGTATTTGACAAGAGACAAATACAAATTGTTCAAGTCTCTGAGGTGTTTTAGTCTTATCCTTCTCACCACTTGTGTCCATCCACCTGATACTCTACAGAAGCTGTGGTTAGAGCTGTTTACCCCGTTGCCCCAATCTGTCAGCTGTCTTTCAGTCATCACCAACTTACTTGGTCTTATACCAGGTAGTTACTGGTTTCCCAAGAAGTAGTCTTTGAGAAACCAGTTAATAATGCTACGTTAGGGTTGTCATCAGTGATGTTAGCTGGGGTCATTATAGTCTTTGAAGTCTGTTGCTGTACTTTGACCTCAGGAACATGAATAGGGTTTGTGCTTTGTAGTCGTATTTGTGTAGTAGTGTTTCAGAGTGTGACTGAGACATAAGGGTCACTCCCCTTATGGCTCGGTCAATATTTGGGTGGAGGTCAGGAAGTCCTTTTGATAATCTAAGGATGTGTCTGCTAGCTACATACTGAACCCTAAATGGCTCCATAAGGCATAGAGAAACACAGAGTGGTCAGTGCAGTCTATTAACCATTCTGAGACTAAGCTAGCTTGACGTCTCTGGCTATGAAGAACTCAATAATCAGTAACACCTGCCTATAAGCAGTTTATAACTTATACAATAGTAAGTAACAAAACAATAATTCAATAGGGACACATCTGTAATTAGCTCCGGTGTGATGCAAATCGCTGTGATGATTATCTCCCTCGAGATAAAGTCACTCAGTATTTTATTGACAAGACAATCCCAGAACAGCAGTTTAATATCTCATCTGTCATACAACCCTTTACCCCATTTCTTCTAGCATGCTTCACATATCCCAAAGCTGAAATGCAACAAATTTAAGGAGGAGCAGCATTGGAGGGAAAAACACGATGTAGTTTAGGAAACAGGTTAAGAACTCCAGACTTGAGAATACAGCAAACAATCTGAATATGTAAAGAATTGTAAATCAATGTCCACTAAAAAAAAAAAATTATATAAAACAATGTTTCACCTCTGCTGTAATGAGGGCTGCTGCCAAGTGGTGTGGCCACAGAGGGTTGTTGTTTCCTGTTATTGGGTTGGACAATGATCTGGTACCCCTGCATCAATCTCTGGCATATGAACTCCTCAAACACTTGAGATGCACTCATCACTGGGGATTCATCTTCCCGCCTAGGAATTAGACAAAAGCAAAAATACAGATGAACCAAAGACACAGCCTGAGCTTTTCACCAGCTTCATGCTTGTTAGGAGTCTGAGATACAGGAATCAGTTCTGTGCTCTAAAAAATTAAAATGATCATCCTGTAAAAGACACCCTGCTAGAGCCAATTTCAGGCAAGCATTGATTGGCTTAAGAGATTTTCACTCTTAAGACATCATGTCATTTACCTCTCCAGGTCACTGTGCGGAAGCAAGTCATAGCAGCCTTCAGTGTAGTCGTTCTGCAGAGTCTGGCGCTCTGGAAAGTAGTCAGTGGTGAGGGGCAGGCAGGCTGGTGTGGTCAGGGACTTCCAGTCTACCCCAACTGTGCAGCAGAAGCTGGGCACTGTCGGGGGTGCAGATATCAGCAGGGCTTCAGGAGCACACCCACCATACGTACATACACACATACAAAAAAAAAAATCCCCACAACAAGACAAATGCATGTACCCGCAGTAGAGTGGTACATGTATGTGGGGGATGGAGAAGGGAGGGAAAGCATAGTGGGATGATGTTAATAGAAATAAGGAAAAGAGATGAAGATATAAAAAGGGAAGAGAAAGAGGGAATAAAGAAACAAAACAGGGAAGAAAAGGGGAGAAAAAACAAGTTAGGTGTTATTCATACTAGCCTTGTCAGCCCAAATGGTGATTCCAGAGGGGCGTGTACTTGTGAAACAGTGATCAAACATGCAGATTGTGGCCTTGTCATAGTCAGTGTGTGATCTGCCTGACTCACAGGGAAATGCAAACTGTGTCCTGAGCTCAGCAAGGGCGTGAACCATTAAGTGACCGAGTGAATTTAAGCAGAGAAATCACAGCATGCAACTAACATTTTAGTGAAAAAGATTTGAAATATTTCAGCCAAGATCCATTTGTTGGCAGAAGCAACTATTTGACAACAATCCAGTGACATACACTTTGCACACCCCCATGCAGAAACCAGATCGAAACACAAGCTTGCTTATTTAAAGAGGTCATGGAATAGAACAATTATACAGTAATTATTGAGGCTATACTACAACAGCAATATTTGATTTGATTCAGATTCATTGCTTAGCTCTAATTTCCTTTTTGGTTTTGCAAATAAATTTAAATAAGACCAGAATCATCTGTGAACTGGTCCTGGTCCTAAACTTACCTGTTTATGCAAAAGAACAATAAAGTTGATGTCATGCACTGCTTTTTGGAAATAATCATGAAGGCCACAGATGTCAGTATAATATAAACATTCATCAGATGATAAAGCAGATTCTGTGAGTACTGACCATCTGATTTCGTCGTAAAAAAAACCCCATCTGAGCCACGCATGAGAGGAAAAAAAAACAGCAAATTTGTGCTCCCTTTGCCTGCAGTAGCCTCATTTATGGAACATTTGTCTATTGAAAACAAGATCAAAAGAAGGCCCAGAGAAAAAGGTAGATAATAGTCTGATTGAGAAAGTGAGGATACACAGGGAGGAATGGAAGGGGAACCCAAGCCTTATGATCTCTAATATGGAGACAGAGGACCAGTGGTGCAACCTGCCTGCTTAAGATGAATGAGTTCCCATTGGCTAACTCAGTTGGTCTATGCGCTCATAGTATTTGTTAGGGTGCAAAGAATCACAAATCTCATTATTCCAAGCATTTCACAAATGTGTCATGGATCGGAACATTTTTCAGAAAAAGATAACCACAAAAGAAGTTTTTATACTCCTCAGCTAGCATTGGCTGTAATTATGCATATTAAGGACGTTAGATCACAATGCCTTTATTACACTTAGTGCTACTACTCCAATTTAAACGAGCAGTATAATGAACCTGAACTCTTGGGGTTCCCCTAATGAGGCACTGTCTTAAGCAAGTGGGGCAGACCTGATCTTGGAACACGGAAACAACCACTAATATTTGGTGATTATTAAGAATATCAAACCCAAACTTAAGGCATGGCAGCGTGACCATTTTTGCATCAATTGACATGTTTCTGTTTTCAAGATGAACTCACTCGGGTTAGCACCGCTGAGGGAAAAGTCTTCAAATGAGCCCCGGTTGGTTATCATTCCTGCACAGACAGCACAATCAAAATAAACACAGAGTGGCAGAGTGATATCTGTACCTATGTCACACATCAGAAATAACAGAATGAAGGAAGTAGCTTTCTCGCTAGCTAACTCTTTAATTATTTATGACCTGGTAAATGTAAATCAGTGCCTAGTTGGAGGTCTTTGAAGCAGTTCACTCAACAAGTGTTCAAAGTTCACAATTCTGCCCGGTCTCAGACTAGTGAAATGATCAAACTGGGATGGGTGAAATGCTGGAGCACTTAATTGTTTAAACATGACATGCATAATATTAGATTTATTTTCCTTTTTGTTGTTTCTTGCCAACCTAAAATAACAGTAGGAGGCAAACCAACACGGGCACCACTTGTAAGCAGAATATAGTCTCAGAACTATAACACATTTATAGTTTGGAACTTATATGGGATAACTGAGAGAATGAATTCCCTGTCTGACTAGAATAAAAGACATATCCAAATGTGGCTTTCAGGTTATCTTTTTCCCAGCAGGAGTGTGTGTGTGTGTGGTGTCTTTAAAAACTGTAGATTGTTTGTCCATAACAACATGTCAACCAGTGAGACTTTCTGCCTCATTTGTGAAATTCTTACTGATTTTGAACTACAATGGAGCTCTGTGGCACAATGGGGTTCGTGACATATGTGGCACAAAGGAGATTTGTAGAACAGCCGAGTATCGTTCAATAGTGTGTTTAATGAGGCATATCACCACTACTGTTGTTCCCAGGACTTCCAGTCAACTCTTCCATCCCTCCACCAATGTAAAGGCTGTTGTCTCCACCTTGCCGTAAAGTTGTTCGCCTGAAGTAAAAGATGAAGAACAAGAATTCATATGAAAGATGTTCCGTATGATATTATTCTTTAAAAATTGAAAAGATTTTTATTTATTTTTTTAGCTACGTTGAGCCCACCGTCCAGTGGCCTCATGATATGCCAGCTCCAGCAGCTCAGCAGAGGTGTGTGCAGGATCTCTCTTCTGGCTGCCTTGCAGTTCAGCCATATTCTGTCTGGTTTGGTGATGGATCTGTATCGCCTCTCCAGAAGGACCTAAGGAACAACAGAAGTCAATATCCTGTGGGGCTAAATTAAGTGGCATCACTTGCAAATCTACAGTCTCTTAAAGGCTTTATGTGATTTTTCACACTTAAATAGAAATCAAGTATATCCTCTGAAAATAACTCTGTGAGTCATGACTGTCTACAATGGGTGTAACACCCGAGTCCAACTGTCTGTGATGCTTTCAGAGTCCTATCTTCAGTTTGTTTACATCGCCGGGACGGCCGGACGTCTCATCCCCTCGTGTATAAAAGTTGTTTAATTGAGGGACTAGAGAAAAGAAGAATAACATACTGTACTCACTGATTAACTGTGTTTCTAGATCACGCTCATTTCAGGTAAATTGACATGCAGTGTGAAGATACGAGCATAATAAAGATCGCTAGCATTAGCATGCTAACACAACAATGCAGCGCGAGTTGTTTTGGTTTCATGCTGGTGCTCAAGGGCGACATCTGCTGGATCAAAAAATCACATATAAAGCCTTTAATCACACATAAATGGGTTTAGGAATGTCAAACTTACTATTAGCTCAGATCTCTGTTGGGCACAAATTCAAACTTTGTGTAGGAGCCATATTGCTCATCATGTGATCAGCATGTAATATTTGGGTTATATATGTGGACAGTCTTTATGGTTAATAAATATGACGGGAAGGAATATTTTCATTATTTACAGTAATTTAATAAGTAATTTAAAATGTATATGGATAATTCAAATGCAGAACATGTTACTTGTGAGTGGAAAACAGCAACTTTGCCACAGTAATTGAAAGAGCTTTAAATTCATTGGATCTGGGAAGGGGAGGGGTTTGTGGAGTTAATTGGGCTAAGTTGAAGCTAGCAGTGAGTGCAGCCAGTCTTTTAACCTCTCCTCATCTCTCTCTCATGTTTGATCTTTTGTACAACTTTGGATTAATCTGTTTTTTTGTTCATTTTTGTTGAAGTAAACACTTAAACTTTGATCAAGTGGTCCTGTGGATTTTTTGGATGTGAATTACGGAAGAGGGATTTTTGGGAGCGTCTAGCTACGGCTTCAATCAGTAGATACCTTCACCTTTGGGTTGTGGCAACACTACAAAAAGTAACAGGGAGTCTTAAAAAATAATTTCTGACACATTCAAAAGTCGGGGGGTTCTAACCCACAGAAACGGTTTTAGTCAACCTCTGTAGGCCATGACCTATATTTTCAATTATATTACTAATTTGAATTTCCCTCGGGATCAATACAGTATCTATCTATCTAATTCTGTTCATGTGTTAGCAATAGCAAGACTCTACATCAATCAGGTGAAAAACATCATTTATGCAAACAAAGAAGAAGCAACTCGACTGAGGATGAAATATCTTGATGCATAGAGACACACAGTTACAGTGATGGCCAGCTGAGGGATATAAAACATTTTAAGATCTCTTACTCCAAACTGTGAACCCATCAAACTGAGAGTTTTGTGATCCATTGCAGCTCGAGTTGTTGACACTTGAAGTTTTTTTTGGTTAATGTCCTCTTTATGTTTTGTAAATTAAGAATGTTTGTGGTTGTTGATCTCTTATATTTGATTTTGTTTTTTGTATTGCCTGATGATTTCAGTTTACACATTACTTTGTCCCTTTTGGGTCTCACCCTGAAGAAATGCCCCATGTTACATAGAAAAAAAGAACACTGGAATTAATCAAAAATAAATTAAAAGTTATTTTCAAAAAATAAACTAACAAAGCAAGTCAAACCATAATATAAACTCCAGAACATTTCAAAGGACCAAGACACCAACAAACAGATTTGGGATAAATTGGAAGATGAAATGATCATGCATGCTTCAAGTTTGCAGATCCACAATGACTTCTTTCTTTGACTTAATTTCTTTGCTAAGGGCTTCCATTGGTTTAGGTTTTGTTTTCTGATTGATCTGTGGGTTTAGCCAAGACCTCACTCTATTATTAACCTTGAAGTAAAATTACAATTTCAAGTTTTGTGTTCAGTCTTCTGTGTTGTGAATGAACTAAGTTCAAGCTCTTGACATGGAAGGATGAGCTGCAGCTAATGGTGTCAATGGTGTAATGTAACAGCAATGAAAGAAGTGTCATTCTTTATTGAATGTCATTTCCTCTTGTGTTGGTCAAATGTTGCTTAGCTCTCTGGGTGAACCTGGCTGTCACACCTATGACTGTACCTGAGTTACACTTCTGTAACGCTGTAATGCAATATGAAACCACACACTGATTTTTTTTGTACTAAACATTTTATGAAAATCCTTCTCATGTTTTAAACTAGGCCCTAACTCACTACAGAAAGGAATGTGATTTGACATGAATGGTTGACAACTGACCAACAGGGAAGGTGTGCATCCAGCGTCGGCGGTTTGAGGTGAGCTTCATGGGCATCCTGGATGGGGTGAAAGGGTTTATGAGTGCTCTCTGAGGAGTGTAACCTCCAGGACGGATGTGCAGAGTAGACTCAGCACTTCCCACTGTGAACCGGCCAGGGGCACTGGAGTCCCGCTGAGAGTCCATCATCTTCTCCAACAACTCTGGAAAAGAGATTTATAGATTAGATGAATCCTACTGGAACCATTTACATGTTCTAAGCTGTAGGAGAATTACCTCTGGTGCTGGTGTATCCAAGGGAGCTACTGACTTCATATTGGGCAGGAGGCAAACGGGGTATCAGCAGCACGTTGGACACAGGGCCCAAACTATCATCAGAGGCCAAGCTACGCTGTTCCTCAGGCCCTACAGAGCGAATCGGTGGGGACACACCTATGCCAGCAGTGACATCAACAGAGCCCCAGCTCTTCCTCCCACTTATCTCTTTGTCCCGACCAATTCTGTTGGACACACAGTTGTTACAAATCAACAGGGACAGGTCCAAAGGATCACTAAAAAGAACTTGGTGTTTTTTTGGGTTTTTTTGCAACTTCGTGTTTATTTATTATTCTTTTTTTTCAATAATGTTATAAAAAACAATAATAGAGTGCAAAAGAAGAAAACAAAATGGTTAGTTTGCCCAATTTTTTTGTAATAAAGAAAAATAAAGCAACTTGGTATTCTTTGTGCACTTGAGTATTTAGTGATAGCAGTCAAATACCTGAAGTTTGTGCTCCTCTGAACTCGTGATGGTCCTGGTAGTCTGAACACCTGAGCATCATAGGCATCATAGTCCACCTGTATAGGTAGGCTGTTGTCAGAGTCTTTTGGAGTACCGAGAGCTGGACAAGGACGTGAAAGTGAGATGTGGAGTTAGAGAAAATCATTCTTTACTTCTTGCACCAAGAATAAACTTGACTAGGTATACGTAGGTTGTCCTTACAAATATGTGATAATGACAGTGTATATACACACTATACTTTATATACTATGACAGTAGTTTTATTATATTATTACATTAGTCTATATTATATTACATTTCATCATATTACACTATATCTTTTATATATGGCACTATATTATATACTATCTTGCCATTCCCTGCACATACTGTCTCAATTCCCTGCAGATAACTTCATCATTCATTTTGTACTTGTATATACCCCCTATTTTTATTTATCTTATCTAATCTATTCTGTTTTATGAGTAATTTGACCTTACTTGTCTGTGCTGCTGCAACACCCGAATTTCCCATCTGGGGATCAATAAAGTACGATCCTATCCTATCCTAGTATAGCAAATATTGGATTATCTGATCTAATCAGATTTTGCTATTTGATCCAATCCTATAGCTTTTTAATTAATGCTTCAAAAGAAAGGATGTTGGTGGGAAAAAAAAGGTCATAACTTACTATGGTCCTTGCTGATCTTGGATTTCTCTGCATGAATCTACAGAAGGTATTTATTAAGATGTGAAATCAAAGAAAAAAAAGCTGATTTCATTTTTTTTCAATTCACAACAGTTCTTTAAAAATTGTGAATTTACCTTTCGGCCAGCCAGTTTAATTCTAGGAGTGAAGGAGCCACAGGAGTTCTGACTTTTAGAGGTGTAGAAGCTAAACAATGGAAAAGGTGAAAGCAAGACGTACATCAGTAAATTCCAACTCCATATTACTGGAAGTGAAGTTGATTGTAATCAGTCATATTGTCATGCCTGTGGTTGATCCAGTGAGGGAGGTTATAGTCATCACCCACACGAGAGTCTCCAGGTGTGGTCCTATTGTGCAGCTACAGAGGGAACGATCTTCGGTAAGCAACACGTATTGTGCCAGCACTTTTTGAGACCTACAATATGAATGTTACCTTGAACAATGGTACTGCATGCAACGGCTGCTCCCCCATACACACCAAGTCTACACCAATACCTGAAGAGAGAAGATTATTTCATAAATGAATAGAGTATGAGAGTATTCATTTGTTTATTATGCCTTTTTGTTCAAAGTGTGTTTGTGTTGTCACACTAACCGTTGTCGATCATTCGCTGTTTGGTGAGAATCATAAGCAAACGGTCGACTTCAAAAACCCCTACACCGGGTGTTATGACCACTGACATCTGCCCAGTGCGGTCAAAGTTGCGGTTGATGTAATGCTTGTCAAACACTGTGGAAGACATGAATATTGTCAACTATACTTCTTGGTTGTTTTCAGCAAAATACATTAATTTCACTTCATTTGTTCAATTCAAACCTCCTATAACCGTCAGACTCAGTTTGGAATACATCTTTGACCTGAATGAGGACTTTGGGTTCATACAAACTTAAATCAGTTTAGAGATGGATCCCTTAAAGGGATAGTTCAGGTTTTTTGAAGTGGGGTTGTATGAGGTATCAATAGTGAGTGTACTACGCACAGTAGATTACTGTCTGGTCACAAACATTGACAGACAACCCAGTGATGTAGGGAACCTGAATCATAACAGTCTCTGATGTTACACTACTTACCATTGAAGGAAAGGTTAATGGCCTCCAAGTAGTTTCCCTCAGCAGCAGTTGAGTTATAACTAACAGGAAAACCATCTGGTAAAAGTAAATAAACAAAAGATCTTGGTTACAGGCCTCTGATCCATAGATGTAATGGTCAGACACACACTTGACTCAGTCACTACCTGCTTCTTCCAGCCGCACCAGGACAGGATACTGAATGAAAAGCTTCTTGATGGTGACCAGTAGTGATGTCCACTCATCCCGTCTCTCATTTTGAGCAACAACCCTGATCACAAGTAAGTTAAAGGTCAAAATAAAAACCTTTACCATCCAATCTGTAAAGCAGCTGAGCTTAAGATAAGGTTAATGGAAAAGGCTTTGTACTGTAACTGTAGTTACTGTACCTGTAAAAATCTTCATAAAAGCGTCCCTCATGATCCTGTCTGATAGACCCTCGCAGAATTTCCGGAAATTCCTCTGAGGAAATTGATAAGAGCATCAGTATAAACCAACAACAACAACAACAACAACAACAAAAAAAAAGTAATAATAATAATAATAATAACAGTAGCGCTTTAGCACACAGCGCCTTGGTAGTGGCAGATGAAAAGGCTGTTTGCAATTTTAAAGGCGTTAGGAGATTAAGCATGTAGGATATTTGCTGATAAAAATAGACAGTGTTTTAGAAATGTTCCTTAGTGTAATGCACAATGCTTTAGTTTCTATAAAACACCCAGTTTCTTTGCATGAACTGAATGTGTTCCTACAGGGGGCCAGAAGATGGCAGGATGTGTGTTGTTATGAGATGAGATGAGATGATGAGATTCAACTTTATTGTCATTACACATATACAAGTATAGAGTAACGAAATAAGGTTTGGCATCTCACCAGAAGTGCAAATAAGCAGAAAGTGCAAGAGTCTGTGCTATGTACAGTAATTACAAAATTTACAGATGTAGACTAAAAAAAGTGAATTATTAGGTATATATGGATGGCTGGATTAATAGGATGCTATAAATATAAATAAATGCTATAAATATAAGTGTATTCTTAGGATTATAATATACAGATTAAGGTGCAGTGAGCATGCTATACTAATAATATACAGATTAAGATGCAGTGAGCATGCTATACTAGTTTACAGATAATATAAAGAATATGGACATAATATGAACATACTATAATACAATAATCCAGGTGGATGAGAGATGTGTGTGTGTGACCAGGAGGAGTGGGGGGGGGATGATGGGTGTGAGGTGATATGCAGGGGAAAGGGGGGGGGTCAGCAGGGGGCGGAGAGAGAGAGAGAGACAGAGTTAAGAGTTCGGGGGGTAGAGTTCAGTAGAGAAACAGCTCTGGGGAAAAAGCTGTTCCTCAGTCTGCTGGTTCTGGTCCGGAGGCTTCTGAAGCACCTGCCGGAGGGCAGGAGGGTAAACAGTCTGTGGGCAGGGTGGGAGGAGTCTTTAAGGATGCCGTGAGCTCGCCGCAGACAGCGTTTTCTTTGGACATCCTCAATGGCAGGAAGTGGACACCTTGTGATGCGCTGGGCGGTTTTTACCACCCGCTGTAGCGCCTTACGGTCTGTGGCAGAGCAGTTTCCGTACCAGACTGAGACACTGCTGGTCAGGATGCTCTCGATCACACAGCGGTAGAAGTTCATCAGTACAGCTGAAGACAGGTGGTGTCTCTTCAGTGTCCTCAGGAAAAAGAGGCGTTGATGAGCCTTCTTAACCAGACTGGAGGTGTTAGTGGACCAGGAGAGGTCCTCTGTGATGTGGGTCCCCAGGAACTTGAAGCTGGAGACACGTTCAACAGCCATCCCGTTGATGTGAATGGGGTTGTGCGTGCTTCCTCTTTCTCTCCTGAAGTCCACGATGAGCTCCTTCGTCTTGCTGGTGTTGAGGAGCAGGTTGTTGTCAGCACACCAGGCGGCCAGATGCTGTACCTCCTCCCTGTAGGCTGTGTCATCGTTGTTGCTGATGAGGCCAATCACCGCCGTATCATCCGCAAACTTGATGATGGTGTTGGATCCATGTACAGGTCTGCAGTCGTGGGTGAAGAGGGAGTAGAGGAATGGGCTCAGCACACAGCCCTGTGGTACGCCTGTGTTGAGTGTGATGGTGGTGGAGCAGGTGTGTCCTGACCTAACATACTGGGGTCTGTTGGTCAGAAAGTCCATTATCCAGTGACGGAGGGAGGTGTTGAAGCCCAGGTCTCCGAGTTTAGTGTTTAACTTGGAGGGGATGACAGAGTTGAATGCTGAGCTAAAATCAACAAACAGCATTCGTGCGTATGTGTTGTTATTGTCCAGATGTGTGAGCACAGAGTGCAGCGCAATGGAAACTGCATCCTCTGTACTCCTATTGCTGCGGTAGGCAAACTGGTATTGTTATGCATCATAACCCACTGTGATCATAAATAAAACAGACTTACCTATCGTATTTGCAATATAGAATGTACGTGAGAAGAGCACCACTGTGACCTCATGACTGCAGTTCTTCTCCTGTTAAAACAATAAACATTGAGACCCTAATTAAGACCAAACTTCACCTTACAACAGAGGCAGACAAAAAGAAAATTACAAACCTTCCACTTTGCAAAAAGATCAGATAGGAAACCATTGACTGCTTTCTCAAAGTAGAGATCACCTGCAAAACAAAACATTCTAGTAAGATTTTCCTCCATTGCCACAAATCAAGATAGCAAAATGTCTTTCACTGAAATCAAAGATTGATTAACAGCTCTTCAAAGTATGAGTATGAATCAAAAAGGTGCAACTCACCATAGATGTCAAAGTCCCACATCTCACAACTCATCTGAATAAAGATGTACACCATCGCAGATGTGGATCTGAACACCACCTATGTCACAAAATCAAAATCAAAGATGAATGAAGACTTCAAGATGAATGAAAGGCTTCGTTTGAGTAAGCTGACTCGACAAAGTCTGTAGTTCCAGTCAGAAACACCCAGAGGTGGTTAGAAACTTTCTCTGTAAACTCAGCTTCAGGGCTGTGCGCTCAAATAAATGGGGCCTTTAGCACATGCATCTCTTGCACATAAACCAGCTGTGTTATATGGAGCAGCTTTGTAATATGGAGCAGCTGTGTTATATGGAGCAGCTGTGTTATATGGAGCAGCTGTGTTATATAGACTAGCTGTGTTATATGGAGCAGCTGTGTTATATGGAGCAGCTGTGTTATATAGACTAGCTGTGTTATATAGACCAGCTTTGTTATATGGAGCAGCTGTGTTATATGGAGCAGCTGTGTTATATGGACCAGCTGTGTTATATGGAGCAGCTGTGTTATATAGAGCAGCTGTGTTATATAGAGCAACTGTGTTATATGGATTATCTGTGTTATATGGAGCAGCTGTGTTATATGGACCAGCTGTGTTATATGGAGCAGCTGTGTTATATGGAGCAGCTGTGTAATATGGGGCAGCTGTGTTATATGGAGCAGCTGTGTTATATGGAGCAGCTGTGTTATATGGAGCAGCTTTGTTATATGGAGCAGCTGTGTTATATGGAGCAGCTGTGTTATATGGAGCAACTGTGTTATATGGATTATCTGTGTTATATGGAGCAGCTGTGTTATATGGACCAGAAGTGTTATATGGAGCAGCTGTGTTATATGGACCAGAAGTGTTATATGGAGCTGCTGTGTTATATGGACCAGCTGTATAATATGGAGCAGCTGTGTAATATGGAGCAGCTGTGTAATATGGAGCAGCTGTGTTATATGGATTATCTGTGTTATATGGACCAGCTGTGGTATATGGACCAGCTGTGTTATATGGACCAGTTGTGTTATATGGAGCAGCTGTGTTATATGGACCAGCTGTGTTATATGGAGCAGCTGTGTTATATGGAGCAGCTGTGTTATATGGACCAGTTGTGTTATATGGACCAGTTGTGTTATATGGACCAGCTGTGTTATATGGACCAGTTGTGTTATATGGACCAGCTGTGTTATACCCTGAGCTTTGGCCTAAAGGCCTAAAGGTGAGCCACGCAAGACAAGTGTCCAAGGGGCGAGCACAGCTTCTATATTTGGTGCAATTGTGCCAATAGGTGCCTCCGCTGCACTGAACTCTTAACTCAGTTATGCGTGTTGCTGCTTACAATTGTTGAGGTCTGTGTGTTGGAAACAGCGCAGGGGATAGAGCCCGACGAATAGTAATAGACAACTTGCTACAAAACTGTGACATTCTATGCCTACAGGAAACGTTCTTAAGCAAACAGGATTTGGGAAAGCTGAACACTTTTAATGACAGTTTCCTTGGGGCTGGTGATTCGACTACTGATCTGACTTTGGGACTGGTGAGAGGACGAATAGCAGGGGGAGTGGCCATCCTGTGGCGTAAGACGCTGGACTCTGATAAAAGTAATCAGAACAGAAGTAGATTGGTGCATTGCTGTGCAGATAAATATAGGAAATAAAGAGTTAATTATTATTAATGTACATACACCTTTTGAGTGTCAAGACAATGAAGATATATATTTAAATCGTCTTGCTTTTATTAACTCATTTATTCATGAGAATACTTGCAGTGTGTACATTGTTGGTGATATGAATGCTGACATCTTAGATAAAAGTTTGCTATTTGCTCGACATATGATACAATTCTGTGAAGATAACAATCTGATATTGTCCAGCCAATTGCCGTTACCTGCAAGTAGCTATTCCTACATAAGTGAAGCCTGGCACACTACTTCTTGGCTTGACCATTGCATCTCCACTGCAGATGCCAATTCTATTCTGCAGTCAATGAGTATCCTGTATGAGACATCTCTAGCTGATCATGTACCATTTGTTATGATTCTTGATGTTGATGGTCTCCCTGAGCTGACCACTAAGGTTAAAGGGGCCTGCGGGGCGAAATTGCATTGGCCCAAACTCACACATGAGGACTTATTGTCATATTATGGGAAAACTGATTTTCTCTTGAGTGATCTATATTTACCGAAAGATGCTATCATGTGTTCAAGTGTAAACTGTAATGATATATCTCATGGGAAATCCCTCTGTTCCTTGTATGATGGAATTATAGGAGCTATGCATGAGGCCAGTAGATCATACCTTACTTGGTCTAAGAAGGCATTCAACATCAAACCAGGCTGGAATAAACATGTGGCTATACATCATGCAGCAGCAAAGGAGGCTTTCAAGGCTTGGAATCAGGCAGGTCGACCCAGACAGGGGCCTGTCCTGGATCGCAAAAAGCTCACAAATGCTAGATTTAAATATGCTGTCCGTTTTGTGAGTAAAAATGAGCAGTTAATGACAGCAGACTCATTGGCTGAAAAACTGCTCTGTAACAAAGTCATGGATTTTTGGAAAGATTTAAGAGCTTTAAATAAGGGAGCAGCTGTGCTACCGAGCACAATAGAGGGAGTCTCTGGACCAGATAACATTGCTGAGATATGGAGGCAACATTACTATTCTTTATTTAATTGTGTGAAAGGGGACCCATATAATTTGGGAAGCATTGCTAGTAGTGATATTGAGGGTTTTACAGCCACTGAGGTCCATCAAGCAATATTGCAGCTTGCTAAAAATAAGGCAAGTGGCTCAGATCAAATCACTGCAGAGCACCTCAAGTTTACTACCCCAAAGGTTGCTATTCATCTTGCTATCTGTTTTACTGGTCTAATGACTCATGGCCTGCTACCAGACTCCATATTGTCCGTCATTTTGGTACCTGTTATCAAGAACAAAGCTGGCAAGGTTGGGAGCCTAGATAACTACAGGCCTATTGCTTTAGCCAGTGTGGCTTGAGAGTATTCTTTTAGGGTGGATATCTAAATATATTGGTACCACAGATAACCAGTTTGGCTTTAAATCTAAGCATGGTACTGATCTTTGTATTTATGCCTTGAAAGAAGCTGTTGAGGTATATAGGAGGAAAAACTCCTCAGTCCTGATAGGATTTGTTGATACCTCTAAGGCCTTTGATCGTGTCAATCATCGAAAGTTGTTTCTGCTCCTCTGCTCCCAGTCTGTGGAACGCTCTCCCCGAGCAGCTGAGGGCTCCACAGTCTGCTGACGCTTTTAAAAGGGCCCTAAAAACCCACCTTTTTAACAAAGCCTTCTGCTTGTGCTTTTAGTTTCCTTAGTTGATCAAATTTGTTTTTATTTCTATTTTTTTCTTCCTGTAGCACTTTGAGATTTTTTTTGCAAAAATTTAAAGTGCGTTACAAATTAAATGTATTATTATTATTATTATTATTATTAAGTGAAAAGGGGGTCCCTGGTTACATATTAAGGCTTCTGGCGTACTGGTATGCCAACCATAGTATGCAAGTCAAATGGGGAGATACAATTTCCTCCCCCTTTGGAGTGAGCAATGGTGTGCGACAGGGGGGGTTGCTTTCTCCTGCACTCTTTAACTTGTACATGGATGATCTATCTAAACAACTGAATGGTTGCAAAACTGGTTGTGTGTTGGGTAACAGGATAATAAATTACCTCATGTATGCTGATGATTTGGCAATTTTTTCCCCTAGCAGCCCTGGGTTTCAGCAGCTGCTGAATATATGTTCCGATTATGGTCTAACATATGATGTGCAATACAATGCTACAAAGAGTACTGTTTTGATATGCAGAACAAAAGGGGACAAGGACCTAAACTTTCCTAATTTTTACCTGTCAGGACAGGTGCTGAGTGTGAGCACCAAAATAAAATATTTAGGTCATTTTATTACGGATCAAATGTCCGATGATGACGACATGTACAGACAATGTCAAATGTTATATGCCCAGGCCAATATGTTGGCAAATTCTCAACGTGTACAGTCAATGTTAAGAAAAATCTATTCAGAGCATATTGTACTCCTCTGTATACTGCCCCCTTTTTAAGGGGGCAGTATACAGAGTATGCCAGGTTTAAAAAGGCAAGCTTCCAAAAGCTTAAAGTTGCATATAATGACTCCCTGAGAATACTGTTTAAAAAACCTTGATGGACTAGTGCAAGTGAGTTATTTTGTAATGCAGGAGTAAACACTTTTCAGGCTCTTATGAGAAAATTAATGTACAAATGTATCTGCCGATTGAAGGATTCTCAGAATTCCATCATCATGCTGTTGACTAGTCCCAGTCATAGTTCTGTACGATACCAGTCATCCTTGTGGCGACACTGGTACAGTTGTCTTTTATAATATTGGTGATGTTTTGTCTGTCTGTATGTGTATTTACTTTGTGTTTTTATTTTGCATGATTTTTATGTCTTCTAATGGACTCCTGAGTCTGGCAATAAAGATGATGATGATGATGATGATGATGATATGGACCAGCTGTGTAATATGGACAGCTGTGTTATATGGAGTAGCTGTGTTATATGGAGCAGCTGTGTTATATGGAGCAGCTGTGTTATATGGACCAGCTGTGTTATATGGACCAGCTGTGTTATATGGACTGGACTGGACAGGGTATTAGGACCCAGCATAAAAACATGCTCTAGTGGTCTTAGATGCTGTGCCCTCATCATTCCATCACTGTTTGGATGCTCTGCTGAAATAAAGTGTCAAATTGACCTGAAGCAAACTGAGAGGAAGGAGACTGGAGGGTGGGCTCAGATTATTGTGACAACTAACTGAATGCACTGGTACCTGTGATAATATACATTCAGTATGTGATACTGTAACTGCATGCCTCGTTCTGTGGCACTACAAACGTAACATTACTATTTGATTTGAAAAGTATCAATTCCAGAGTCCCTCAGCTGAGGATCTATACTGCCAGTGGAGACTATTGTCTGGTAATAATCATCAATGAATGGACAGTTTAAAGCCAAAACCTTAACATGACCAAATACTGATCAGTTAAGGAGTACAGAACAATTAACCATGGTGATTTAGCCAGGTTAAGAGGGAGCTAGATTAGTGACACTGACCCAAGGCTTAACAGACCTGGCTTACCCTGGACTCTCACTAAGTAGCACACCCCCAGGATGATCCTGTCCACATACCTGGTAAATACGTTTAAATACAGACTGGAAAAAATGGGGGAAACACCCAAATTAAGACAAGCAGTAACGAATTTGAGGCAAAAACCCCTGCCCAATATGAACCACAGCATCTTAAGTCGGCTCAGCTGGCTTGCACATCACACAGCATTTGTACTTTGGGCTTGCAGAAAAAAAATCTGTCTGTTTAAAGTCAGGATGAATGGATTGAATATTTGCAATCTGGTGTACAGCCTACACTGATAATGTCTTTAAAAGTGCATGTGCCACTCTAGACAAGTCTTATCCAAGCCTGGCAACATTACAGTTTCTTCTGAAGTAACACACTTAGATGCTATTCCTCTTTCATGAAATAAAAAAAAAGATTGTGAAATATTTTGTATATGTAAAAGGTATAAGTGTTATCTATGCACACGCATATACATAAGCATCTGCTTTCAAAACTTTTCTTACCCTGGTGTCTTCACTGATGTATCCACAGGTCACCTTCTCCCCCTTCACCCAGAGCTCGCTGGCTTGTGCTCTGAAGAATTAAAACAATCAAAAGCATGTATATGATTGCAGAATAAATGTATGGAAAAAATTGAGTTTGTCATCATCATTGCAGTTACCATGGCCAGGACACCAGAAATAAATAAAAAACCGCAGTGTCCATCTACATAGATGTCCATTGTCTTTTTTAACATTAGCAGAGGTCTACTATCAGTGCTGTTTAATTTTAAGAAAGTGCAAGTGCATGATTATTTATTTTACATACAAGTGATTTATGAATTTTACTATCAGTGTGGGGAATTGAAATGTAAGCATAGTACCTAATTCCTGCAAACTCCACTTTCTGTGTCACATAAGCACATGTGCTCACCTGGAATAAAGATTGTAACAGTTACATCATCATGTAAATATGCTGTTACACATTGTGACGCAGAACATAACCCAACCTTAACAAAACCCACCAGGCACTTCTTCAGTCTCCACATGTCTCCTCTACCGATGTACTGATCTTTAAACGTCAGCTCAACAAGGTCCAACGTTACATCCTGCAAGAAGAAACAGAAACTTTGTTGAGATTCTGTTGAACTGACAAATGGTGACAATGTGCACAGTTTAGAGTAAACATACCTTAGGGTCTACAATGCTAATAATCACATCCTGGTAAGCACGAAGTTTGAACGCTTGTGCAACAGTCTGGTCCACACTGATTATCTCTAGACAAAAACAAAAGCAGTAAAAATCAATTCAATTTAGGTCCATCAAATACAGCTACACCACTTACAACTACTGTCTAAAAATCTGGTGGAATCTTCTCTTTCTTTTAAAATTGATATAGCTTATTTCTTATAGCTTATTATCATGCTTTTACCTTTCTGAAGATCCTCTTTTAGGCTTTTCACTTGCAACAGGAGAGGACTGGGGATTTCAAAAGAGACAATACCTGATTATATCCTCAGTAGTAAAACATAGTATAAATGAACATGAAAGATAAAATGATGTTTAAAAAAAACCCACATTGGATCCTATTATTCAAACTCACCTGTATTCATCTGTAGGGTGAGCAATCTCAATAATATCCCCCAGATTGACTTGTGGGAATACTTTCGGATTGACAACCAACTCATCATCTGCTCAAAGGCAATACAAATTAGAAACAGGTACATCTTTGAAAAGAGAAGTATCATTTTAAACTGCGTGAATTAAAATACATTGCTTACCACTTCCACCAAAACCTTTCTTGTGCAGCACAAGCTTATAAGACTTACTGGCCTTCATGGTGAACAGCTGGGAACAAAATAAGAAGCGATGTCTTAATTTAAAGATGTTAAAGTTATATATTCAAGTTAACTTTATACACATTGTTCTATATTTAGAAGCTGAGCTTCACTAAAAAGAAGTGGTTGAAACTGATCTAAAAAAGTTTGCGCTGCGAGTCACGCCTTTTAAGTAACGTTAACACTTTCTCTATTTAAGAAATCCGCGAATGAGTTTAGATATAAAGAATGTGTATTTATTACAATAACATGATTAGGTTTTCAGTAAAACATTGACGTAGATTGGGAATAAGAAAAAAAGAAACTACCTGAGAAATCTGTTCTCAAACACAGCCCAAACATCCCCTAATGCTTGGTTAGCATGTAGCTAAATGTGTATTACTCACAGGTAATGTAAACTATAACCGACCCACAGTGACATCGCTCAATAGCATGCATACTCGTGCACACAGTTATATTAAGAAACAATCTTTATGAACAGAAGGGGGAATAGCAATCTGTTTTCTAGCTAACTAGCATTAGCTCACATTGGTCCTAGTTGGTGATAAACATTGACTGAGCGATGTGATTGGTTCGCAGCTTGTCAAAGAGTGTGTTAGCGATTAAAGAGGGTTCACTCCGCTCATCCGGCTTCGCTTATTTCCTCCTCCTTCCAGCATACTGGTGCATTACCGCCACCTGCTGAACTGGAGTGTGGATCAGAATTCTGGCACAGGAAAACAACAATAATAAAATTGATTTTGAAAGGGTCTATTAACTCTGTTCTTTTCAGGAGCACTATCAACTGTTCATGTGTTTAGTCTATTTTTTGTCATGGAAGGTTTTCTACTTTAAAATTCCTCTTCAGTTGCTTAAATGCTTCCTCATTCTCTCCTTTCTGCTCATACAGCTGACATTGTAATTGTGCAATGTTGGACGGTTTCTGGTTTACTAGAGTACAAACATAATCTAGTTGCATACGGAGCCCCTTAAATCCCAGAAAAAAAAAAGTTAAAATCTTGTGCGCACCAGTTGGATGATATTCCGTGTGCACAAGTTAATTGTGTTGTGCACAACGACAATTCAAAAACTCTGAGCCAGGAATAGAAACTAATCATCTTAGATAACAAGATATTGTTGTGAAGGTGATGATGACGATCGATGGAGTTTATTCCTTAATCTTAATCCCCACTTTATCCGAAACCTGCGTCCACCTCTGTCATATCATTTGACTGCATGTGGACATAGCCTAATAGTTTGTGAAAAGGACGAAGAGATACAGAAAAGATTAGGAAAAACTCACCCACAACACGGAGGTAAGTATCATTTAGGTATTTGGTAGGTAGGTCTAGCAATTTATATGACTTTGTTTCTGTTTTTTTCAAGACAATCTGGTAATTACTTTATCAAATATAGTTCTATTACTTTTTTCATTATGTTATAGTGAAAGCCAGCAATATCCCGGAATCAATAGATTATAAAATAATTTAATAACTAACTAACTTAAATTGAAAAATACATTATTTCAGGTTATTTCATAATAAAAAGCTTTCGTAAGTGTCTCAGTAAATTAATTGTTCCAAAATAAAATGGCAGTAGTATTTCATTAGAAGATTGTGGTTAAATCCACCTTTATCCTCACATCATATATATATCTATATATATAGATATATATATGAGAGTAGACAGTTGTTCCATGCAATCTTTTATTATTGCACAATAGCCTAGTCGAGCGTATCAGATTCCAGTTAATCTTATATAATCTGATAAATGAATGTCCGATGGGTTTATTGTAAATGGTTGTGACAACAGGTCAACAGGTTGTCGGTTGTTGGGACATGCAACACAAAAAAATCAGTTTGTTGGAAGTTAATAGATGTGTCAATGGTCTACATATTGTTGTAAACTCTGTTTACAATAAGATGGCTATTGTCTTTTTTTATAGGCGCAAATTGATTCAAGATTAAAAAAAGTTATTTTACAACTATTGAGCAGCCGTGGCTCAGTTGTTAGAGTTGTTGTCTCTCAACCAGATGTTCGAGGGTTCGATCCCCAGCAACATGCCTGCAGCAACATGTCCGATGTGTCCTTAGGCAAGACACCTAACCCCAAGTTGCACCTGCTGCTTCCTCGGCAGCGTATGAATGGATGAGTTAATACTGATGGACTCTTTACACAGCAGCCTCTACCATCAGTGTGTGAATGTGTATGAATGGATGAGTTAATACTGATGGACTCTTTACACAGCAGCCTCTACCATCAGTGTGTGAATGTGTATGAATGGATGAGTTAATACTGATGGACTCTTTACACAGCAGCCTCTACCATCAGTGAGTTAATGTGTATGAATGGATGAGTTAATACTGATGGACTCTTTACTCAGCAGCCTCTACCATCAGCGTGTGAATGTGTATGAATGGATGAGTTAATACTGATGGACTCTTTACACAGCAGCCTCTACCATCAGTGTGTGAATGTGTATGAATGGATGAGTTAATACTGATGGACTCTTTACACAGCAGCCTCTACCATCAGTGTGTGAATGTGTTTGAATGGATGAGTTAATACTGATGGACTCTTTACTCAACAGCCTCTACCATCAGTGTGTGAATGTGTAGGTGTGACCTGCTGTGTAAAAGCGCTTTGAGTAGTCAGAAGACTAGAAAAACACTATACAAACTCAAGTCCACTTACCCTGAGTAGCACCAAAATCGGATGTTGTCTGAGGCTGATGAGACTAAATTGATTAAACTATGAAGAACGGTCGTTAATGGAGAAGTGGAGGGTCTCACGTAATGATGGCAGAAATGAACTGGAGGAAGAGAAAGCCATTTTCATGAGAGGGGCAGCAAGCTAACAATGATATTAGATAAGAATGACCAGCTGATGAGAACAGATGATGACTACATTAAATAATGAGTGTATATATGAACAATAAAGCAGTATGAAGAATGTAGTCTTCCTGACTGAATTTACAGCTCCATTAGATTGTGTCTGAGGTGGAGACAAGCATTTGAGATAATATGTAAAAGCCATGTTTATTTTGAAAGCTATTGTTTTTTTGTGCTTGCCTTAACAAAGGTAATCTTACAGAAGTATTTTTTGGGCTGAAAAAATATCTAAAATGTATTTAGAGAATTGGACTTCAGATTGACATGCAACATATCTTCGTATACCAGATCACCTCCAATACTCATTAAGGACCTGCTCAGGTCATACAGGTTGTGTATTCTCTGTATTGCAGACTATCAGGATGTCTGGCCCTTACCCAGAAGAGGAGTTACCTGCCAATCATACAGGTCAGAGGAATAGTTTGCAATGACATGAACAGATTAAAAAACATTTGATTAATTGACCCACTTGATGATATCCCAAACTTTAATGTTGCTTCTTCTGCACATTATAAACATGTATGTGTCTGCAGGTCCTAAAGGAGTAATCAATGACTGGCGTCAGTTTAAGTTGGACAGTGTGGATCAGTCTGCTCCTGTAAGCAAGAGAGAGCTTCTCAGACAAATGTCAAGCACACGAGAAGATGACAAGGAGAGATCGCAAAGAAAGGTGAGATGGTAACACTTACAACTTCACATGAAGGAAAAACAGAGGATCATCAATCAATTCATATATCACTATTTTTAAACAAATGTTATCTTAAGACACTACAAAAGAGCAGGTCTTACTCATTGTTATTATGTACAATGACACAACATGAATCCATTAGTTGAGCACAGCACGAAGCAACAAAACTGCCTTTAAACAGGAAATCTGGAACAGAAGCAAACACATGTTAAACCGCCACCTGCTGCTACAGATGATGTGAACAAACTGTGTAGTTTAACATTAAGTTTGTCATGACATGTCCACGACCAGCTGGAGTCCCTACTTTTTCAGGGGGGAGAAAGTTTGATGCACGCCATGTTAATTGAACATTTGTGAGAGAATTCATATTGGTTGTATATTTTCTCTTTTTCAACATGTTAATTGCACCTTGTAAACCACCTCTACTGTGATCTCAGTGACCCGTTAACAAATCAGTACCTCCTATAGCTTCATGCAGATTTTGTAAGCATTAGTACATTAGTAAGCATTTTTTACCAACAAAACAAAGTTGTTTCTTCATATACTTAACTGTGTCATTTATTGTAAATATTTGATATAAAAATGTTTCGAAAAGGCCTTTTGAGTACCTGCTCTGTTAACTTTCCTTGTCACCAGTATGAATTATAAAGCAAAAAGACAAAAACTATTGGTGTGATGAATGTTTTCTTCATCATTTTATCAAGAGTTGGGCTGCGAGTGGATTAAATATAGTCTGTAACTTAAACATGAAGTTGTAACCTAGAAGCAATTAACCTGAATTTAACCTCAAATAAAATGAATTCAAGTTTGTGAGTAGGCCCATGTGTAGAAAGCTAAAAATTCAAACTGAGAAGATGGATGGATGGATACTTTATTTAAAAAATGTAAAGCATCCAGTAGCAGGTTACAAAGACGAACATGACATGAAACATTTCTTACAAATTAACCACTAAACCGACCCCCCCCCCCAAGGCCAAGAGTCACTGTGTGCTTTCCCCCTGCCATAACCGTGGCAGAAGAAAGACAAAAACAAAGAAAATACACAAACCATGCAATGATTGGGTATGATTGTACTTTATGCCTCTGCTTGCCAAAGGAAAACATATAAAGTAACAAAACAAAAAGACATTTTTTCTCACCTCTAGATGAGTGTTCAGGAGTACGAACTGATCAAAGAAGAGGATGAACGTTGCCTCAAACACTACAGAAAACAATGCATGAAGGAAATGCATGAACGCCTGAGTTTTGGTCCAAAGTTTGAAGCGGTCTACGAGCTGGAGAGTGGAGAGGCGTTCCTGGAAGTTATAGAAAAGGAGCACCGGCTGACCCTTGTGATAGTGCACATTTACCAGCATGGTGTTAAAGGTTAGATATGTGTGTTTAAGTCCTCCCTTGCGGAATCATGTGACATCAGTAATGTTACATGGGCACTTTCTTTGTCCCTCTTCAGGCTGTGAGCAGTTGAACTCATGTCTGGACTGCCTGGCCTCCGAGTATTCCAGCATTAAATTTTGTCGAATTGATGCTGTGGCAACAGGCGCTGCCGAGCGCTTCTCCTCTGAGGTTGGTCTTTGATTGTTTAAAACAGTAACAGCAGGCAATGATGAGGGTCATTATTATTCAATACTGATAGTAATACATTCATCAGAATTGGGATAAAGGGCTGGAGTATTACAGGTGTGATTTAGTCCTGTGATCTTAACTGAGTGTATAAACACAGAGAGGCTAATTATCAATTAAACCCAAAACTCAATTATATCCAACAACTTGAAAGAGCAATAATTGATTATTGAGACTAAGAGTCTAAGTATTTGCTTCTTTTTTTAATTAATTCACTTTTTATTAAGGGTTTTTAAAATAAGAAACAGGAGATGAGTGTAACCCAGGTTATTGCTGTAGATTCATATTTACAGATGTTCCTTGAACGCATCACAGATTTACGCTTGAACGCACCACCTGCAGGCTAGCGGTACCCCCTGAAGCATCGGCAGAATTAAGTTTTTCTCCGTGATTTCTACAGACTGTGAAGTAAAATAGACACATAAAAAGGAAGCTGTTAGACATGAAGATGAAAAAGATAAGTTTATGCGCTGTTTCAAGAGTTTAAAAGCTTTTAGTGAAGCTGGCAGTTTACAGTGTAGGAAAAGTTCACCGGCAGAAACTCCGAAGGTGTTCTCACCTTTAATGTGGATATCCTGGCTGGTTTTTTTTTGAGGGACGATTCAACCGCCGTCCAGGTCTTTTCTGCTTGAGGGTGCTGTCGTCTCATCTGGATGCTGATCTGCAGATAATGTGCTGTTCCAAAGGGTGGTAGGAAGCACATATGGAGTCTAACTGAAAGGATTTTTATTTTTATTTGCACTTTCGTTTTTCCTGAGATCTCAGTTTTTTTTGTTTTGGGCCTAAAATCTAGTTACAATACTTTTTAAGTTTCTAAAATAAATCGATGTATTTGGACACTAAAGTGTGCTTATGATCATTTACCCCTGTATGTTACAGCAACAGCAAAGATGGATTCTGTTCTATGCATTTATTTGTTATTGTCATAAATGATTAAGAACTATATTTTTCTTTGCTACTCCAAATGTATCAACCTAAAACAAAGCTTAAGTACGTTTTAACCCCTGTCTCTGTCCTTCTAGGTCCTTCCTGCTCTGTTGGTCTATAAAGCTGGTGAATTACTTGGTAATTTCCTGGCAGTTACCAAACACTTCAGTGACGAGTTCTTTGCAACAGACGTGGAGGCTTTCCTCAATGATTATGGCCTGATACCTGTGAAGGAACTTGCAGCCTGTGCGGATGTTGATGACGAGGGAGGGGACGTTGAATAAGTCCATGAGGAAAGAGGAATACAACAGAGATCGAGAGAAGAGGGAATGGTGCAGGGTAGGGGATAAAAGCAGTACACACTAAAACTTGATATTTTATCCAGATGAGGCGGAAGTAACAACAAAATCTTTGGTATAAATCCTGAAAATGAGTTAAGTTATTGATTCATTTGATTTCTGAACCCTGGATGAATTAGTGATACCTGGCATAATAAAACAAAACATGATCATTCAGTGCAGCCATGGCACCAAAACAAGGGGCACAATTAGGACCATGCCAGAACTTTTCTAAACTTTATTATTTAGCTTGTCATCCTTTATTATTTCAGACAGTAGACTACATTTCATAAACAGAGTCAAAAGACAAATATGTTTGCTAGTTGACAGATGTCTCCCCCTGTGATAACAGTGAACAAAACAACCCAATGTAAAGCATGTCAATAACAGTGAACAAAACAACCCAATGTAAAGCATGTCAATAACAAAACAACCCAATGTAAAGCATGTCAATAACAGTGAACAAAACAACCCAATGTAAAGCATGTCAATAACAAAACAACCCAATGTAAAGCATGTCAATAACAGTGAACAAAACAACTCAATGTAAAGCATGTCAGTAACAGTGAACAAAACAACCCAATGTAAAGCATGTCAATAACAGTGAACAAAACAACCCAATGTAAAGCATGTCAATAACAAAACAACCCAATGTAAAGCATGTCAATAACAGTGAACAAAACAACTCAATGTAAAGCATGTCAGTAACAGTGAACAAAACAACCCAATGTAAAGCATGTCAATAACAAAATAACTCAATGTAAAGCATGTCAATAACAAAACAACTCAATGTAAAGCATGTCAATAACAAAACAACCCAATGTAAAGCATGTCAATAACAAAACAACCCAATGTAAAGCATGTCAATAACAGAGAACAAACAACCCAATGTAAAGCATGTCAATAACAAAACAACCCAATGTAAAGCATGTCAATAACAAAACAACCCAATGTAAAGCATGTCAATAACAGAGAACAAACAACCCAATGTAAAGCATGTCAATAACAAAACAACCCAATGTAAAGCATGTCAATAACAGTGAACAAAACAACCCAATGTAAAGCATGTCAATAACAGAGAACTAACAACCCAATGTAAAGCATGTCAATAACAGAGAACAAACAACCCAATGTAAAGCATGTCAATAACAAAACAACCCAATGTAAAGCATGTCAATAACAGAGAACAAACAACCCAATGTAAAGCATGTCAATAACAAAACAACCCAATGTAAAGCATGTCAATAACAGTGAACAAACAACCCAATGTAAAGCATGTCAATAACAAAACAACCCAATGTAAAGCATGTCAATAACAAAACAACCCAATGTATAACATGTCAATAACAAAATAACTCAATGTAAAGCATGTCAATAACAAAACAACTCAATGTAAAGCATGTCAATAACAGAGAACAAACAACCCAATGTAAAGCATGTCAATAACAAAACAACCCAATGTAAAGCATGTCAATAACAGTGAACAAACAACCCAATGTAAAGCATGTCAATAACAGAGAACAAACAACCCAATGTAAAGCATGTCAATAACAAAACAACCCAATGTAAAGCATGTCAATAACAGTGAACAAACAACCCAATGTAAAGCATGTCAATAACAGTGAACAAACAACCCAATGTAAAGCATGTCAATAACAAAACAACCCAATGTAAAGCATGTCAATAACAAAACAACCCAATGTAAAGCATGTCAATAACAGTGAACAAAACAACCCAATGTAAAGCATGTCAATAACAAAACAACCCAATGTAAAGCATGTCAATAACAGTGAACAAACAACCCAATGTAAAGCATGTCAATAACAAAACAACCCAATGTAAAGCATGTCAATAACAGTGAACAAAACAACCCAATGTAAAGCATGTCAATAACAAAACAACCCAATGTAAAGCATGTCAATAACAGAGAACAAACAACCCAATGTAAAGCATGTCAATAACAAAACAACCCAATGTAAAGCATGTCAATAACAAAACAACCCAATGTAAAGCATGTCAATAACAGAGAACAAACAACCCAATGTAAAGCATGTCAATAACAAAACAACCCAATGTAAAGCATGTCAATAACAGTGAACAAAACAACCCAATGTAAAGCATGTCAATAACAGAGAACTAACAACCCAATGTAAAGCATGTCAATAACAGAGAACAAACAACCCAATGTAAAGCATGTCAATAACAAAACAACCCAATGTAAAGCATGTCAATAACAGAGAACAAACAACCCAATGTAAAGCATGTCAATAACAAAACAACCCAATGTAAAGCATGTCAATAACAGTGAACAAACAACCCAATGTAAAGCATGTCAATAACAAAACAACACAATGTAAAGCATGTCAATAACAAAACAACCCAATGTATAACATGTCAATAACAAAATAACTCAATGTAAAGCATGTCAATAACAAAACAACTCAATGTAAAGCATGTCAATAACAGAGAACAAACAACCAATGTAAAGCATGTCAATAACAAAACAACCCAATGTAAAGCATGTCAATAACAGAGAACAAACAACCCAATGTAAAGCATGTCAATAACAGAGAACAAACAACCCAATGTAAAGCATGTCAATAACAAAACAACCCAATGTAAAGCATGTCAATAACAGTGAACAAACAACCCAATGTAAAGCATGTCAATAACAGTGAACAAACAACCCAATGTAAAGCATGTCAATAACAAAACAACCCAATGTAAAGCATGTCAATAACAAAACAACCCAATGTAAAGCATGTCAATAACAGTGAACAAAACAACCCAATGTAAAGCATGTCAATAACAAAACAACCCAATGTAAAGCATGTCAATAACAGTGAACAAAACAACCCAATGTAAAGCATGTCAATAACAAAACAACCCAATGTAAAGCATGTCAATAACAGTGAACAAAACAACCCAATGTAAAGCATGTCAATAACAAAACAACCCAATGTAAAGCATGTCAATAACAGTGAACAAACAACCCAATGTAAAGCATGTCACTAACAGAGAACAAAACAAATCAATATAAAGCATGTCAATAACAGTGAGCAGAGCAAAGACGGGCATGGCTACAAGCAGAGTATACAAGCAGCATAATCCCTAAGCCTCAGTAATTATACACTTTAGGCTTTATTCTACAAACAGGTTTTCATGCTGGGGTATATTTGCTGTATGTACGACGTAGTAAAAAAAATCTTTTATGAAAATGAAATTTAAGTGCAGGAACCTTGCTGCTCTTCTGATAGCTCCTTTTAAAATAACATACAGGCTAACTGTAGCAGCCATTTTCTAGTTATTTGTTATTTGTTATTTGCATTTGTTTTGTTTGTAAACACCAGGGGGCAGCACTTGGGTGGAGAGGAACTGTTTAAACGTTGCAGGTGTGTGTCACTGGTGTTGATGCACCAAGAAGGGACACAGGTTTTTCACCAGGTCGATGAATGAAATGTTTGTTTGAATTAAAAAGGAGAAACAGTGATTCCCGACTGGACATTGCAATTATTGCCTGCGTATGACCTCACTGGATTGGTGCATCAGTGGCCGTTTGTTAAGTTTATGCAGTTTTTTTTTTTTTTTTTTTTCATGACAAATAGCCTCCACACTAACCATAGCCTAAGATAACTGTGTATTCTCCTTATATAACAACTTTTTTTCCCAAATAAAATTAATAAAGACTTTCCCCCTATAATATTGTAACATCTGGTGTTTTAAATGTGTTTATTATAGTTTTACTTTCACAATATTTAAACCAACTTTAGAGGCAAAACCTATCTACAGTGTTAACTTCGTGGAAGAAGGTGATTTGTTGATTGTTTGCACGCAATTATGAATGATGGATGATTTTGATTGATGGTTTATTTTTTTATTGATTGACTTTTTGATGGCTGATGATTTGATCAGTTAGATTTGAATGTAATACATTTCAGACGTTGTTCAATAAAATGCTTTGCTGTCATATCACTGCTCTCCAATAAAAGATGACTTCATCAAATGGCTTTTTGTCAGCGTCTGTTTGCTTAGAACTGTACAACTGCAAATGTGGTTGAACAGAGTTTATGGAAAAAGGTAAAAAAAGGCTGGTAAACATTTTCTCTAATGGACACATTCATTTGGTTAAAGGATGCAAAGGTAACATGTACTCATTTGTTATGATTGTTTGTAGTTTGTAAAGATGGTTGCTGCAGAAAAATCAAATCAAGTTTAAACCTCAAAATTAAGCTGCTCTTCATTTACATTCAAGGGCAGGTAGAATGTCTCTTAAAAAAAGAAGGCAGAACTGCCCAGTTTCCAATAATTGTTTTCATTGCAATGGACTCAAAATCGGGATCCATCCTAGCCAATGGAGTTCATGGAATGAAAAGGGGATCTTTCATAACTGTTGCTACACATTAAATGTGACCCAAGAGAATGTTTGTACCTGTCAACAAACTTCACTCAACCCCTCACTTCCACAGACCAGCAACTATAACTTATTTCAATTGTGCAAACTACTCTCACTTAGTCAACAGCAACCATACATCCCTTATTTTCCTGCCAAGCCAATAAGTCCACCAGCAACTTCTGAAGGGAAAGGCATCAACAGCAGTGAGATAGGCTAATAGAAGAAAAGGCAGACATTTGTATTCAAATCAGGGATGATATATCAAGAAGTGGGGAACACATTGTAAAGAGCAGATCATGATAAGTAGACTAAGGATAGGGCATAGCAATTTAAACAGTCCTATATCATGCACATAAACAACCAACAGGAAGTAGGATAGGATAGGATAGTACTTTATTGATCCCCAGAGGGGAAATTCGGGCGTTACAGCAGCACAGACAAGAAAGCTCAAATACACATGAAACACATCTTCATAATAGACTGATGAACAGGTTACTAACAGAGGACAGAACACTATCAGAAGTATTTTAGAAATGGGAAACTGTGGAGAGGAGATTTCCATTAAAGTGACTGGGTCAGACTTCAGTATAAATGGGAGATGAGGGAGACTTCACACCACAGAGGGCGGTAATGCACCGAAACGGATGCCGGCTGCTGTAAATGTTGAAAGAAGAAGAGGAAGAGGACCAGCCCTGCTAGCCAGTTGCATATGAATATATGGCCGTGATTTTGTGGATTCATTTAACGCAGTCCAAGTATTAAATCAGATAAAAATCTGAAACATCGATTAAAAGAAGATGCAGGATGACGCTCGCTACCTCAAACGGTGAGACGTGATGAAGATATCATGTTTGTTCACCTGCTTTCATGTTTTGAGTGGAATGGTCACGCAAGCTTGCTAGCCTGAATGAATCTTACAAGTCAGTACAATGAAGGAGGTATCTATACTCCTGTCAGCTGGTACTACAGGGCTTCAATAAGCACCTGGGTAAACCTAGACTGACAGTCCATCAAGTTAGTTCAATCATTTAGTGAAACTTAGGGATGAAATCTGTAATAGTCTAATATTCAGAAGCTTTTGTGACCCACAATGACCCACAATGGGCATCAATCAGTCCTTAACTTTAATTAATATTGTTGTTTATAATTGTAGTCTACTGGGAAACTACATATGTTGCGTGGTGTTTATCCAATATGTGAATTCAGCAACCAAACCATAAAAATCACTGAAAACGGATTCAGTTTGTTTGGGCTGAAAACATTTTTTCCATCAGTGAATGAATCGTAATTTATCTAAATCAATCTAATCAATCAGACTGTCTATGAAGGTATGGATTCCCTCTATCTATTTATCTATCTATCTTTATTCATCACCAATTCATAACAAATGTTACATCAAGATACTTTACAAAAGAGCAGGTAAAAGACTTTTTATTAGTGACAAATTATAATGTGAAGATGCAACATGAATCCATCATGAGCACTAAAAACATTTATCGAAGTTACAGTGGAGATCTAAAATCAGACTGTCTATGAAGGTATGGATTCCCTCTATCTATTTATCTATCTATCTTTATTCATCACCAATTCATAACAAATGTTACATCAAGATACTTTACAAAAGAGCAGGTAAAAGACTTTTTATTAGTGACAAATTATAATGTGAAGATGCAACATGAATCCATCATGAGCACTAAAAACATTTATCGAAGTTACAGTGGAGAGGAAAAACCTGGATCAGAACCAGACTCATGATGAACAGACAGAAACCTGGATCAGAACCAGACTCATGATGAACAGACAGAAACCTGGATCAGAACCAGACTCATGTAGAACAGACAGAACCCTGGATCAGAACCAGACTCATGATGAACACACAGAAATCTGGAGCAGAAGCAGACTCATGATGAACAGACAGAAACCTGGATCAGAACCAGACTCATGATGAACACACAGAAACCTGGATCAGAAGCAGACTCATGTAGAACAGACAGAAACCTGGATCAGAAGCCGACTCATGATGAAAAGACAGAAACCTGGATCAGAACCAGACTCATGATGAACAGACAGAAACCTGGATCAGAACCAGACTCATGATGAACAGACATCTGATCAAACTGTGTTGGACAGAGGGAGATGCAGGAAGAAAAATTGAAGCACCAGAGCTGAGCTGGTGCTCAAGCGCCCTTGAGCACCAGCATTAAACCAAAACAACTCGCAGTGCATTGTTGTGTTAGCATGCTAATGCTAGCGATCTTTATTATGCTTGTATCTTCACACTGCATGTAAATTTACCTGAAATGAGCGTGATCTAGAAACACAGTTAAGCAGTGAGTACAGTATGTTATTCTTCTTTTCTCTAGTCCCTCATTTAAACAACTTTTAGACAGGAGGGGAGGAGTTAGCCGACCGTCCTAACGATGTAAACAAAGTGAAGATAGGACTCTGAAAACTCTGAAAACATCACAGACAGTGGGACTCGGGTGTTACACCCATTGTAGACAGTCATGACTCACAGAGTTATTTTCAGAGGATATACTTGATTTATATCTTATTAAAGTGTGAAAAATCACATATTAACCCTTTAAAGGGTTCTGATGAACTGCCTGTGAAGTCAGCTTTCTCATTTGAACTTATTAATGTCCTTTTATCTTGAGTTGGTTTAATTCGTCTCATTATTCAATCTCTCGAGGAATGATATGTCAAAGTCAAAGTCAACTTTATTGTCAATTTAAAATATGCCAGACATACAGTGGAATCAAAATTGCGTTTGTCTCCGTCCCGCGGTGCAATACAACCAAAATAAGGTAAAATAAGATAAGGTAAAATAGATAAAATAAAATGAGGTAAATTAAGATAAATAATATTTACAGTAATAAATGTTAAATTGTGCAAAAGGTACAAAATGGTAAATAAAATGAAATAAAATTTAAAGAAAAAGTAAACTTGTGCAATGTGCAGTAAACTGAGTGTACTTTTGAATAGTTAGCTTCAGAGTTATTAGTCCAGAGTTCTTGGTGGCAAACGGGAGGGGGTTTCAACGTCCAGTGTTCGTGGGGGCAGAGGGGAGGGAAGGAAGGAAGAGAGGGGAGAGAGTTAAGCTTCCTGACAGCTTGGTGGAAGAAGCTGTTTCCCAGTCTGGTGGAGCCGGACCGCAGGCGGTACCGTCTCCCTGATGGCAGGAGGCTGAAGAGGCTGTGTGAGGGGTGGGTGGGGTCACGCACAATGCTGGTTGCTTTGCGGGTGAGGCGGGTACTGTAGAGGTCCAGAAGAGAGGGGAGTGGGACACTGATAATCTGTAATATGTCAGCCAGCCGTCTGCATGTCGCTCGTCTGGGCTTGTCATCTTGTATAAAACTATTGTCTATGAACAAATCGATCAATGATTCAAAGTGTTTTCACTGTCATGACAAGTAGGCTCTAATGCTGTTCATCATATTGAATTAATAAACAGTTAAAGCCACTATCAGATCTTTATCAAATCTTTGATGTGAAATGTTTGAAAGGCTTGATTAAAGATCCTGTGAATGTCATGAACTAAACTCTACAGAAACATTCTAGAATTCATTGATATTAAACTTTTAACCATTTGACAGAAATATTGTTCATGTGTCCAAGTCGAGTTTACTGAATGGAACAAAACAGAAAAAAGGCTTCAGATATTGTATTTTAAACTTCCTTTTCTTCTGACCAACAGAAAGGTGACTGTGGGCAGTTTGGATGTTCATCCCACAGAGAAAGCCCTCGTGGTCCACTATGAGGTGGAAGCATCTATACTGGGAGAAGGTGGAGGTCATGTGGTGGGTGAACGGAAGGAAGGTCAAAAAATGTGAGTGTTCTCTTTCTAACTTTGCCACTTATTGCACAATATGTCTGAATGTACTGTATAATTTTTAGTTCAGTGTATAGTTTACTTAATACTTACTAGTTAATGTGTAAATACATTGTACCTTTATTTTTGTTTTATTCCTATCTGTTCTTATTTTATTTGCACTTGTATGCACGCTCTTCTTCTTGTCTTTCTACTGCTACAACACTTGAATTTCCCCTGAACGATCTCATCTCATCTTATCTTAACGTTCACTCTGTGTCTTGATGTGGAATTGAACTGGTTTCCGTGGTTACAGTTCAGTTTTCTTTTGTTTTATCTTCTTCTCTTCCAATCGACTATTGTTTTCAGTGGCTTTTCTCTACCTCTTTATCCATCTCAAATCCTCATTTTGTATTTGACATGTTGTTTTCAGACAGGTCCTAAACGTGTGACCATGTGACATCACATGTGTGACCATGTGACATCACAATTTAAAATCAGTTGGTACCTTAAATCCATAGATGAGTCCAAAAACAGTGTTGGTTTTGGTCTCATTTTAACCTTATCAGATGAATTCTTCAGCTGTATTTCTGATTTGGCAGTTGGTGCAGTTGAGAAGGCAGATCAGAGGGCAGCACCCACCTGGGGGATGGGTTACTGCCCTTTGTGATGTCATAAAGGGAAAATCTCCCTGGGAAAAAAAAAGTCTCATCAATTGGGGGGTTTGTAGACAGAATAGGGACACATATTAGGGTTATATATTAGTGCATCATATGTGACCCTTTATCTGTGTCCTCTCTCTCTCTCTCTCTCCAGTATCCGTGTGAAGAGCCTTTCTCCCAGTACAGATGTGGGAGCTTTGGCAAAGAAAGTGGTGGAGGAGTGTAAACTCATCCCTTCTTCCCGTATGCCTCAGGTGGAGCAGCTCCTATACTACTTGCAGAACAGGAAATCCTCCCCAGTTGAGGGCAAAAGTAATTCAGTTCATTAATTTGCTATCCAGTTAGAAAAACAATTCATAATACGTTTGAAGTAAATGTGCCACTGTAAGGTATTCAATGTTTGTTTTGTATTTCTGTGCCACTAGGGGAGACGAAAGAGAAACAAACTGTGAAACCCAGAGAGCTTACACCATTTGAAGGAGTGGAGGTAACAAGCTAAATGTTTGTGCACTGTGCTCATTTCTCGGTTCACTGGGGAACTGATTTCTTGTTCGTTTTTGTGTTTCCTATTTTATCTCCTGGAAATGTAAAAATTTTTGACAATGAATAAATGGGGTGGCGGCGGCTCATTGGAGTCGGTCGTCTCTCAACCAGAAGGTCGGGGGTTCGATCCCCAGGTCCTCCAGCCGCATGTCTGATGTGTCCTTGGGCAAGACACTTAACCCCCAGTTGCTCCCACTGCTACATCAGCGGTGTATGAATTTGTTTGAATGGATGAGTTAATTCTGATGGACTCTTTGCACAGCAGCCTCTACCATCAGTGTGTGAATGTGTATGAATGGATGAGTTAATACTGATGGACTCTTTGCACAGCAACCTCTACCATCAGTGTGTGAATGTGTAGGTGTGACCTGCGGAGTAAAAGTGCTTTGAGTAGTCAGAAGACAAGAAAAGTGTTGTTGAAGCTCAAGTCCATTTACCATTTAGTATTTAAATCCCTGAGCGACTGTGAAGTGCATGTTTATTCATGTTGTTGCTTTGGAGTAATTTCTGTTCCAACAGAATTCACTATGTTTTGTCCTGTGATTTCCAGTGTGACAAATTCTGAAGCCTTTTTTCATGCAAAACTGGATGTCTTATAATTTGTTGTAACATTGAAACCTTCAACTGTTGCATGTTTTGTTTGACTTATGAAGTGTATTAATGTAGTAATTAACGTTTGTGAATGTGTCTGTTGATTTTTTTCTATGTAGTTAAATGAGGAGGCCAGTATAACCAGAGTTGATGAGTATGTTGAACTTCTCTACGAGGGCATCCCTGAGAAGATCCGAGGATCAGCTCTCATACTGCAGCTCGCCCGGAACCCTGATAACCTGGAGGAGCTGCTTCACAACGGTATAGTGTCTACCTGCTAATACTAACCCCCTTTTCAATTCCCAATGAAATGGACTGTTACACATCTCCATTAATGTCACAGAGGCATAATGGTGTCGTGAAGTCTTTTCCCCCACTGGGCCGGCTTCACAGAGGGGGTTAAAAAATGGCGTCACTGTAAAGATCAGAGCTAGCCGGGTGAACAGGTGCTGTGTGTATGTAGTGGGTGTGTACCTTCTCACATGTGTGATGAATCAGGCGTTCACCTTCACTTTGGCTCCAAAACACTGTTTATGCACTAACACACAAACCTTCAAATGCAGACTGGCCCCATATTACATGTAAATTAAATGGTTTATGTAGCTAGCGAAGCATAACAACTTTTGCAATAATATCAAATTCAAAAACACTCTTTGACACACCACATGGGTAAATAGCATTTTAACATGAAAAACGATCAGGACAGCTCTCCAAAATTGTATTTTAATTTCCACATGAACGTTTTGAGCAGACACTCTTCTTCAACACTCACAGGTGGGACTAATTTATACTTATCCAAAATAGGTGCTAGTCCATACCAGGGGCCTCATTTATCAACAGTGCGTGAGCATGGATCTGTGCGTAAGAACATTCCCACGCAAAGAGTGGGATTTATCAACTTGTACTTTTACTTATAAATGTGTGTAAATATGAGCACAGCTCTGAGCATGCTTAGGCACAGAATCTAGAGGTAGAACATTGAAACTACAAATAAAAAGCACCACGAGTGTCACAGCACGCATCAATCGCAACGTAGACACATGTTCCAAGTTTTCTTTAATTAAAAACCCCAAATTAGTGATTTTGTCTGGTTTGAAACAGACGTGTTGACTTAATTCATTAATAAAGGATATCAAAAAAATAGGTCTCTTGAATGGTCTCAAAACCATAAAAAGGCCGCTGTGAAAGGCGTTTGAAATGTTACATCATGGCATGTTTTGCATTATTAGATGATTTTGGAAACCGTGCGCTCTGCAGTAAGTGCGTCTTTAAGAGCGCACTGATCTGTTTGGTCCAAACTGTCCTCTTGTGAGAGTGTCACGCGATTCATTGTGTAATTATGAACACTCTGACATTATCATCACAATATGTTTAAATCACATGTTCACTTGTGCAGCAGCCTCTTTACATGCTGAGTGTTACATCAGCATAAAGAACCTTAATCAGTGATTGGATGCACCTGTGTCTGATTCAAAAATATTCTTCATGTTCAAAGAGCGTTTTCTCCTCAATTTGGGAAACTCTTCATCCTGTTTAAGTCCTCCTCAATCCTACTAACAGTTTCTAATAACTTTAATGTTTACCAGGATCCAGTCTTAACCCTAAGGGGAAATTGATAGAAAATGTCACTACTGTAAGAATTTTCGAAAAATGTTGTCCCGGGGAGGAACTTTTGATACTTAGGGATTTATGAAGTTGACTCCTTTGGCTCCTTTATGCCATAGTGATTGACTACATTCTTTTTAAGAAAAGCTACAGCTATCTGAAATATGAATCAAAAACAGCAACAAGCTTTTGTTTGAAAGCCATTATATTTGAAGAGTTTGAAGTTTCTGTTACGAGCTACTAGGTGGTGCTAACAACAATCCTCTTCTGAAGTCAATGCAGCAAACAAACACGTGTTCTCCTTTATTCACAAGCCACTGCCTCCTTACTCCTTTAATACTGTCGAAACCCCTTACTCCTTTAATACTGTCCAAACCGTGCTTATTCTTACCCCTGGTTGTGCCTGCACAGGTCATGTCACTTTAAATGAAAGGTGTTTTTCTGTGTGTAGAGGCAGCTCTAGGTGCTCTGGCCAGAGTATTGAGGGAGGACTGGAAACAGAGTGTAGAACTGGCAACCATTATCATTTACATCTTCTTCTGCTTCTCAAGGTAACACAGACACACACACACACACACACACACACACACACACACAGTTCTGTTCTACATCATCTTGTAACTCTTCTCTTCTTCTTTCTGATAGTTTCAGTCAGTTTCATGGCGTGGTGAGTCATTATAAAATAGGTGCTTTGTGTATGAGCGTGGTGGAACACGAGCTGAAGAGACACGATGTTTGGCGCGAGGAGTTACGCAAGAAAAACCAGGCTTATATCCTTTTTATCAACTCCTGTTTCCCTCTACTGTTAAGGCTGTAAGTTGTTTTTCTGCCCCCTCCTGTGAAGTTTATCTGACTTTTATCTCTATTAGGGTTTATTAGGTGTTCCTTAACACTTAATGTGTACATGAGTCTGCACCAGAAAATGGTTCCCTGAGAAGAGACCAGGACAAAGCTCTGAGGAAATACCAAGGCCTTCTCGCTAAACAGGAGCAGCTGCTCAGAGGTAGGCTGGCCCTCTCACAGAATCATGTTCTTGTCGTACTCTGCAGCATGACCTAAGGTGTTTTTTTCTCTAGGTGATGTAAATGCAGTTTTGATGCATCATGCCATACATTTTACTCATAAACACATCTGCTGGCCCCGCCGTGTCCTTTTGAACGTTTTTTGCAAAAAAATTAACAAATACATTTATGGAAACCGCAGTTTGTGTCAGTGATTGACAACCAACAATTTTTGATGAGCCATAAAAAGGACCAACGGGAATTGCCTGGTGGATTTCCTGTACACTGCATATATCCAGTTGTATTTGTTTTGTTTTGTTTTTCAGGGAAAGCTTGTCTATCAACAATCAACCCTGTTTCAAAACAAGTTAGGACGCAGTATGAAATGTACACAAAAACAGGATCTGATGATTTGCAAAAGATGAATACTCATTCAATTGAAAAAAAGGCAAAAGACACCAAATAAAATGTTGAAACTGGGAAATGTAATTGTTTTTGGAAAATTACACAACCATTTTTTTAATTTGAGTCCTGCATCAAAAAAGTTTAAAAATGTTGTCTTCAAAAGAGTTCTGTTGCATCACCTCTATTTTTAAACACTTTGTAAGCATTTGGGAACTGAAGAGACCATTTCTTTGATGTACGGAGGAGCAGGGCTGTGTAGTTCTCTTCAAGATGTGATGTTCAGGGTCTCTTTTGTTCTTCTGTACTATTTTTGTGCAGAGTGTGATTTAGCATTGTCCTGCTGAAATAAGCAAAGCTTTCCCTGCAAAGAGGTCATCTACTTTAGGTGTTCCAAAATAAGGGTGCCAGAGTACGGTGGCTGGTAGCGGTCAAATGATCAGCAACTGATGAAACGACATACATTTAGAAAAACGCACAGCATGTATAGAAACACTGCACATTCAAAAGCAAATGCAAACTACCACAACAAATGCAAAGACACAAACGCGCTGCAAATAGGCAAAACAACTGCAGAAGCATCAAACGCGCTGCAAGTACAGAAACGAAACTTAAGTCAAAACACACACAACCAGAAAACAACTGCAAACTAGTGATGTGTAGTTCGTGAATGATTCGTTCAAAACGAATGAATCATCTGGGTGAACGAACTGAACTGAATCACTTACTGAAAAGAGTCGTTCATTTCTCAACTTCAGTTGCGCTCTCCTCTCTCCCGTCTCGTGTCTCTCTCCAGATCGTAAGAGTGGCTCAAAGCCCGCCCTCCCTCTCCTTTCATGTCAGTGATACGTACTGACTGAACCAACAGGACGGAGTCGGTCAAGAGCTCTGTGTCGCTAAAGCCCGCCCCTACTTCTCCCTCTCATTTCTCCAAAATTGAGGAAGTAGAAAATATATTATTTAACATTTAGGTGTTGCGAAAATGTATGTGCTTTTTATAGCTCCTATCAGTTTACAAACGGCTTTTATATCAAACTTAATTTCACTCAGCTGACTGTTTTAACATCCACTAACGATCGTGTTTCAGTCAGTACAGTGTGTGTGTGACTGAGGCTGGTGACTCGCAGTCTCGCTCGTTCACGCTCAGTCAGTGTTTCGTTCACTGAACGAACTGAGAGGAAGAGAGTGACTCGGAGGCGGAGCTTGAACGAGAGAGCTCCGACATGAATCACTGAACGAACTGAGAGGAAGAGCGGAGCTCCCGTTCAGTTTGTGAACTGAGAGGAAGAGAGTGACTCGGAGGCGGAGCTCTCGTTCAGTGAACGAACTGAATGAGAGCTCCGACATGAATCACTGAACAAACTGAGAGGAAGAGCGGAGCTCTCGTTCAGTGAACGAACTGAACAAGAGCTCCGCTTCCGAGTCACTCTCTTCCTCTTCTTGTACTGAACGTTCTGAACAGAACGGTCGGGGAAAATATATGTGATTGTTTTAGCAGCTTTCAGTTTGCAAACTGTAGCTTAATCCAACTAAATTCTCAGCTCATTGGTTTATTATTCACCAGCGGCTGTTCTCAGTACGATCGCGAGCAGAACTAAACGTTCAGCATGTTTCAGCTTATTAAATTCTGATTCACAGACAGAGCTGCAGAGAAGTTCTGAACAATTCGGTGAACGAATCTTTTGAACATATCACTTTACTGAACTGATTCTACTGATTCAGTACACTGAAAAGAACTGCTTTTCCCATCACTACTGCAAACACAGAAACGCTGCAAGTTAATCCTTAAACGGAAGTGCTCCAGGCCTGTATGGGCGGTGTGGATCTGTTTATTTCGGTTTATTTACGTGAGAGAGTAAGAGAGACAGCTAGGATCAGAAAGTTATGTTTAGATAGGGAAGTTGTATCGTTGAAAGACACAGGATAACTAGTAGAGGAACAAACCCCCAATAAAGGCTTTAGTTTTCAAGATACCTGTACCCGAGGTAGAACAAAGCACAACCATATTTTTTCATAACTTGAACATGTCTAGTTTATGAAACGGATGGTTGTATAAAAATATTTTACTGCAAAATAACTTTTTTGGGATGTTTTATGCATCTTACCAAAAAATGAAAATAGGTCAAATTAGGGCTTCTCCAAAAGGGACAGCTCTAGCCTTATCACATGTATCTCTGGGAATCAGAATCAGAATTTCACCAAATTTGGACAGGATGTTCACAGATAGTTATTAGTTACAAGTTAGTTTGTACCAATACCATTTTCATTTTTTGAATTTTTAATACTTAAATACACATGTAGTTTAGGCGGAAATTGAAAATTTTAACAAAAATTCAAAAGGTATGTATATCAGAGTCTGTCATTTTTTAAGTAAGTACACCAAACATTAAAATATGTCATTTGTATCTTCTTTAGACTGTTACCTCAACTTAAAAGCAAGGTATTTTACTTTTCACTTGGTTATTCCCTGATCTATTTGGCAACACACGTTTCTCCAAACCTCTTTAGCTCAGAGGATGCAACGTGGGCTTGTATGAATTACTTGTATATATAGAGTTTAAGTGTTTCATGAACAAAAGTAATTACTAATTATGGGAGTTTAAAGTTGTTTAATTTTTAACCAAATAGAAATATCATGATGCTTATTTTCTCTCTCTTTCTCTCTTTCTTGCTCATGTCCTTCTTGCACCTTCACCTTCTCCCAGTGTCTCTTTACCTCCTGTTGAACCTGGCTGAGGACACGAGGACAGAACTGAAGATGAGGAACAAAAACATTGTTGGTCTATTGGTTAAAGTCCTTGAACGGGAGGATGAAGAGCTGCTCGTCCTGGTTGTTTCATTCCTTAAAAAACTGTCCATCTTTCTGGAGAACAAGAATGACATGGTGACTTGAAGAGATGCGCTTAATGATTCATGCTGTTGGAAAAGATTAACATTGAGAGGGAGGGGGAGGATGAAGAATCTATTTCTTTATTTAAATATTATTTATAATTGAACATTTAATTAGTATCTTGATCTAGAGTTTCATCATCTCTAGTCATCAATCTTTTCTGTGTTTATTCGGTAATACTTTGCTCGCAACCTGGCAGAAACCAGAGAAAATGGCCGACCAATCACTGCTGAGGGGCATATGAAGAAACTAGATTAGAGGGAGGTCTGTTGAGCCTGATGACAGAGTTTTTAGTGTATTAGTGTCTTTTGACCTGCCTAGATCCCCATGGTAACTAACTCTGTTTCTGCTTTAGTTTAGTTGTGAAGTGCTGTCTTTTCATTGGTCAATACCAAGGATTTTAATCTGTGGGCAGTACAGATCCACAGCTGAGGTAGTATAAAGACATGTGAGATTTGAAAAGCCACAGAATGCAGCGGCACTGACAGTAAGACAAAACACCCCCCACACCTGCAGTCTCCCTCCTCACATTTTTATCTGTTTACTTCAGGTAATTTCGACACTTCAAATTACATCATCCCCCCCAGTATAGAACAATGATTGCACAGTAAGGAAACTGGATCACATTTCTTTAGCTGGGTCAAAATATCAGACCAAGAAGAGAGTTGTTCTGGTTCTTCACCTGCCTCGTATGTTTTTGGTGTTTAAATATTTTTTGGCAATTTCCCTTTTGAAATCTAAAAACTATCAATCTGTGTTTGTGCTTCACAGGCTGAGGTAAATACTGTGGAGCGATTGGCTCATCTGGTTCCCTGTGACCATGAAGACCTGTTAAACCTGACTCTGCGTCTGCTGCTCAACCTCTCTTTTGATTCTGGACTCCGAGCGAAGATGGTGGAAGTTGGACTCTTACCTAAACTGACTGCTCTGTTAGGTAACAGTATACACTAAAGTATAATCATCCAGTAAAATCATCCATATGTACCGTGTACATATCCTTCACTGTCAATAACTTTGGTTTTATTGACAGTGCTGTTGCCATGATGAATAACTACTTCTGTGGATCTTCAATCTTTTTACAACATTTCCGTCAAGATTGAAATGTCTTAACATTTTGTGCAAACCACAATGGACCCCACAAAATGACACCTAGGATTTTTGTGATCTCCCAACGTTTTTTTTAGGAGATTGACATACCTCTATATTTATGTGAAATGAGAAGCCGTAATTTAAGGCCTCTCACTTTGGTGAACCGGCAAATGTATATTTGGTACCCTAATCAGGCGAACATTTCAGTTATTCCAATGATGGTGAATTTACAGAACATAGTGTCAGATGCTCAAAATCAGCACGTTAGAGTAGTCGTGAGTATGGTTGCAAATCTGAAAAAAAACTCTCAAAATAACATTCAACACAATATTTTCAAAGTTTCACTTGTAAGAAATTAGGCAATACAACAAGACAATACTTTTTATTTCTAAAGCACTTTTCAGACTTCAAATGCAGCCTTCAAGTGCGTCACTCAATGGTAAATGGACTTGAGCTTGTATATTTCTTTTCTAATCTTATGACTGTAAGTGTTTTTACAACGCAGGTCACACCTACACATTCACACACTGATGGTAGAGGCTGCTGAGTAAAGAGTCCATCAGTATTAACTCATCCATTCAAACAAATTCACACTGATGGTAGAGGCTGCTGTGTAAAGAGTCCATCAGTATTAACTCATCCATTCATACACATTCACACACTGATGGTAGAGGCTGCTGTGTAAAGAGTCCATCAGTATTAACTCATCCATTCACACACTGATGGTAGAGGCTGCTGTGTAAAGAGTCCATCAGTATTAACTCATCCATTCATACACATTCACACACTGATGGTAGAGGCTGCTGTGTAAAGAGTCCATCAGTATTAACTCATGCATTCAAACACATTCACACACTGATGGTAGAGGCTGCTGAGTAAAGAGTCCATCAGTATTAACTCATCCATTCATACACATTCACACACTGATGGTAGAGGCTGCTGAGTAAAGAGTCCATCAGTATTAACTCATCCATTCATACACATTCACACACTGATGGTAGAGGCTGCTGTGTAAAGTGTCCATGAGTATTAACTGATCTGACTCTAACACTGAGCTACAGCTTTCACATTGTCGTCCTAAAAGAACAAACAGACTGGAAATAGTATCAGAAATTGAAGGCAATAAATCAAGGTGCACCAGGTGCAGGTCGACCTGGCAGTTGGAAGGAACAGGTCTTGACACTAACTGGTGACACCCACTGAGCATGTGATTAATTTGGGGACTAAATACAAACCTTTTCATCTTACTTAGCAGCTTAGTAGGGGATCAGTAGGGATGCAACAATACAGTCAGCCCACGGTTCAATACATACCTTGGTTTTTTGGTCATGGTTCATGGTTCGGTTCGGTTCTGAGGGGCTGGGCTGTTAAAATGTTTCTAGTGTTAAGGATTTTAGGCAAATTTTACAGAACATCAAGGGTTTTAGAAAGAGAGCTACTTTTTTTCATTTTTAAACTATTTATTTTACTTTGAAGCAAAACAAATTCAGGTGCTCTCCTTTCAGCCTATTGCAAAGGTCAGATTTGATTTGAACATGAAGTAAACTACAATTAGCTCAATGACTGTAAACAAAAAAGTGCATTGGTGGCATACTGTCATATTTCTCTTTTAGTTATGATTATCGCTCCTCTCTTATTCTTGTAGTGTTCAGTATTCTGAATATTTTGAGTATTAACAGCAGCTCAAACGATTTAAGAACACTTCAAAAGACATCAAACCTCACACTGACTGTTCAGACGTGGTTTATGACCAGTTTAGAGTTTTTAATAAGAGCAGTGAGGGTGATGCGCAGACGCATAGACAGAGGAGCACTCAGTTGATGTTGAAAGACATCAGTTAGTTAACAGACAGCAGTCTGCCATTTAGTTCATATACTTCACTGGTTAACATGTAAACTGTAGAGCAGATTATCAATTTCACTTTTTGTTTCTTGTCCGTCCACTTATATGCGTAATGGCATGTTCCCCGACTCTTGCTCATCAGTATAGCTCTCTCTCCTTCTTACGTTCGCGGACCCACAGTTATCTTTTAATGCATGTTTTTGACATAATGAGGGAGAAAGGCTTTCGGAAAAAGGGCGTTTGCGGCCGTTAATATACCTGGACGATTGGGAAACACTGCGAAGTACATGTTTTCCAAGCGCACATGCTCGCCCCACGTGTCAGAAACTGGTCTGTAGTGAGACGCTACTTGAGCAATGACTGCAGCCTGTATGATCAATAGACTGTCACTGTACCGGCCCTGGCGGCCCTTCAGGCAGCTCGGCTGACGGGGAATGGTCCCGGTTCTCCCGATTAGCCACTCCGGGTCTGGCTGCTCCTCACTGCTCGCCATGTGTGTCACCAAACTAGCGCGTGGTGATTGGCTATTAACTCACTTCACGGACGGGGTTTCCTCATCCCTGCACGCTGACTCACAGGCACACTCAGGCACACTCAGGCACACTCAGGCACACTCAGGCACACTCAGGCACACTCAGGCACACTCAGGCACACTCAGGCACACTCAGGCACACTCAGGCACACTCAGGCACACTCAGGCACACTCAGGCACACACAGGCACACACAGGCAGAGCCAATTTAGAGAGAAATACAATGTGTGGAAACCAGTTAAAACCGCAATTCACAAGTCAGTATTGAACCGTGGATGCCGTACCAAACGGTTCAATATTTTATTGAGAATTGTTGCATGCCTACTGTTCAGTTAGTCAAAGAAATGCTGACCGTGCTCTTGAACTATGAACTATGCACTGGGCCCTGTAGCCTGTTTACATTTTTACAAGTATTGATTTTCATGGTTAAAAGATTGTAGTGATTTTTCTACATCTGCAGTGGTGTCCACTGTGTTGAACTAGGTTGATGTATGTTTGTTGGCATGCAGGTGGTGAGAACAACCATCAGGTAGCCTTGCGAATCCTCTATCATATCAGCATCGATGACCGCTTCAAGGGCATGTTTGTTTACACTGAATGCATACAGCAGGTAAATTCAGATCCACTCAGACTCTTTATCTCTTCATAATATTGGCTTTAGTCTCATTCTTATGTCATGGGTAATATTCTGCTTGTTTTTAGCTCATGCGACTGCTGTATGAGCATACTGAGGAAGAAATGGAAACTGAGCTCATCTCCGTCTGCATCAACCTGGCTGCAAACAAGAGGAATGCACAGCTCATGTGTGAAGGTATATTTATATGTGCTGGACTTAATAACAGTGTTAATGTAACTTCCATTTTATTGTCCCTGAGGGGAAATTTGTTCAGCAGCCAAACTTCAGAATGTGTCGTCCTTGTTGGGAACTTCAGCCGTCATCAGTGTACAAACTGTGTAAGATGTTTTTTTAGAAACATGTTGTCGGCAACACATTTTAATTGGGTATTAAATTTACCAAAAACAATGACATTTGTCAGTTATAACATTTGATATTTTGTAATTTTGCCATTTTCAATGAAATATGGGGTTTCATTGTTTTGCAATTCATCACATTCTATTTTCATTTTCATTTTTTACACATCCCAAATTTGTAGGAATGGGGTTGTACACAATTGAGTTATGACTTCTCTTAATTTGATTTTTAGAAGAAGGGATACCTAACCCTACTTGATTGATCCATGATAAGTAGAAAACGGTACTTGTGTTTTGGAAGAGCTTCTGATGTTTCTTTCTGTCCAGGGAATGGGTTGAAGATGCTGATGAAGAAAGCTCTGAAAATGAAAGACTGCCTTCTGATGAAGATGATCAGAAACATCTCACAACATGATGGGCCAACCAAACCACTGTTCATAGTGAGTAATACATACACATTACAAATGAACTATTCCCAATACTAATACCCAACACTAATGATGATAGCTTGGGCTGAATAACAATATGTATATTTTTTTACCTTAGACGGCTAGTTTTAAAGATTTTATTTTTGGCCTTTTTGTGCCTTTAATGGATAGATAGGACAGTGGATAGAGTCAGAAATCAGGGAGAGAGAGAGTGGGGAATGACATGCGGGAAAGAGGCCACAGGTGGGATGTGAACCCGGGCCGCCCGCTTGAGACGACAGCCTCCATAAGATCCTTTAAATAAAGCTCGGGGTTCAATCAGTTAACATTGTGTGCCATCCCTTTTTATATGTTCTGGTCTCTTTTTACAAATCATTTATGGTTTAACTTAATGTACGTCAGGGAGGCTGTAACATGACCGGCGGTGTTAAAGCACATTGAGTAGTCAGAGGATTAGAGAAGCGCTATATAAGCTGAAGTCCATTTACCATCTTATTGAAGGGTTGTGTAAGCCTATGAGGTGGTCCCTTCAGTCTGTTTCCTCCGTCTCTGTCAGGACTATGTTGGTGACCTGGCAGCAGAGATCCGTGCAGAGGAAGAGGAGGAGTGGGTTCTGGAGTGTCTGGGTACTCTGGCCAACCTTACCATTCCTGACCTGGACTGGGAGTTGGTGGTTAAGGAGTACAATCTGGTACCTTTTCTCAAAGACAGACTGAAACCAGGTACTGATACGTTTTAGAGAACCATACTTAAGGGTGTTGTGATATTGACTAAACATGATATCTTGATATTTTCAGGGATTTTGCTGATAACGATAATTGACGATATTTTTTGCAACCCTCCAAAATGTGTTTAGAAAAGTGTTGTATTTTGGATCTTTTTTTTTAGATTTCTTTTTGGGCTTTTTGTGCCTTTAATAGAGAGATAGGACAGTGGATAGAGTCGGAAATCATGGCGAGAGAGTGGGGAATGACATGCGGGAAAGAAGCCACAGGTGGGATGTGAACCCGGGACGCCCGCTTGAGACGACAGCCTCCATACACGGGGCGCGCGCACTGCGCACTGCGCCACCAGCGCCCCTGTATTTGGATCTTAACAGTATATTAGACTTACTTAATGATGTTAATAGAAACAGGTCTTATTCATTAACTTAAAACGTATTCCCAAGTGATAAAACTAGTTAGTTGTCGAGCTGTCTTTAACAGCATCAGTTGCACCAATTACATCTATCAACGTTGATTCTGAGACTGGTGGTGTTTGCATTTTGTCACATTATGCATGTTGTCACTATTGTACTACAACAGAATAGATCACCATCATTTCATTTCATTTGGTCCTGTGAGTTTTTAACTGTTTGTGTTCATTTTTCAGGCTCAGCAGAGGATGACCTCATCCTGGAGGTAGTAATTATGATTGGAACTGTTTCCATGGATGATGCCTGTGCTGCTATGTTGGCTAAATCTGGCATTATTCCTGCACTTATTGAGCTACTTAATGGTAAACACTCAACTGAGCTCTTTTTCAAGATGTTGTGCATAAGATACACAAAAACATTGAATACTACATTTTTTGATTTCTTAGAGATCTTGTGTTTTCCTATCTCTATATGCCCTCCTCTTAAAGGCTTTATATGTGATCTTACACACTTAAATGTAATATAAATCAAGTATATCCTCTGAAAATAACTCTGTGAGTCATGACTGTCAACGACAATGTCATGACAATAAAGTTGACTTTGATTTTGACTTTGACATATCGTTCCTCGAGAGATTGAATAATGAGACGAATTAAACCAACTCAAGATAAAAGGACATTAATAAGTTCAAATGAGAAAGCTGACTTCACAGGCAGTTCATAAGAACCCTGTAAAGGGTTAATATGTGATTTTTCACACTTTAATAAGATATAAATCAAGTATATCCTCTGAAAATAACTCTGTGAGTCATGACTGTCTACAATGGGTGTAACACCCGAGTCCCACTGTCTGTGATGTTTTCAGAGTTTTCAGAGTCCTATCTTCACTTTGTTTACATTGAGGGACTAGAGAAAAGAAGAATAACTTACTGTGCTCACTGCTTAACTGTGTTTCTAGATCAGGCTCATTTCAGGTAAATTTACATGCAGTGTGAAAATACTAGCATTATAAAGATCACTAGCATTAGCATGCTAACACAACAATGCAGCGCAAGTTGTTTTGGTTTCATGTTGGTGCTCAAGGGCGACATCTGCTGGATCAAACAATCACATTTAAAGCCTTTAAAGTTTTCAGGACACAAATACTGAAATAAAAATCCCTCTTTTAGGAATGTCCTGATCCGGGCCACACATCAATATTGCTGCAGATTGAATTGAGAAATGATTAAATTGGGTGCAATATATCATTAAGCCTCTTGTTTTATACACAATTGCTTTTACCCACAAAGCTTGTAAGAAGAGGCACAAAACATTGAAGCCACCATCAACTCTCTTGAAACACAAAAAATCCAACTCGCAGATATGCCTTTGATTCTGAACCTGTTTTTATTGTCATTTGTTTGAGTGTAGCCCAACAGGAGGATGACGAGTTTGTGTGTCAGATTGTCTACGTCTTCTATCAAATGGTGTTTCATCAAGCTACGCGAGATGTCATCATCAAAGACACACGTATCCTTTATAGACTGTGTTCAGGTTCTCTTTGAAGGGATTTCTTAAGACTGTGATATGTTACAACTCCAACATCAAAAGATGTTTTTTCTTTAACCGCCATTGAAGAGGCTCCAGCCTACCTGATCGATCTGATGCATGACAAGAATGCAGAGATCAGAAAAGTGTGTGACAACACCCTGGATATCATCGCTGTAAGTCAAACACACTCATTGGTTAGTAACAAAGGTGACACTTCAATAAGTCATATTACATCTTTTTCTTTATCTTTCAGGAGTACGATGAGGAGTGGGGGAGGAAGATTCAGTCAGAGAAGTTCCGTTTCCATAACAACCAGTGGCTGGAGATGGTCGAGAGCCGGCAAGCGGATGAGTCTGAACCGTATTTCTATGACAACGACAACGACAGGACTGATCTATTTTATAGTGCAGGTACACATACATTACTCCAACAAGTAGACATAATAACAGTAACTGCCACTGATCATTGTACTGGTTTTAATAAAACAGTTTTTTCCTGGATATAATTCAGATAATATCAAAGTAGAGGTCACATGATAACGCAAAACTTCCCTGAACTGTAAATCTTCAACTTGACTTTCATCATAATACTCGAATATGAAAAACACAAGAAGAAACACTAAAGGAGGGGTGGGGGAGGGGATGCACTGACCCAGACCCAGTTTTGTTTTGGTGTAGGGGACTGGTGTCAAAGTGTGAGATCCACTAGACTGAAAGTGGCTGATTATTCTTTCAGTAACTGATAATGTATAGAGTGGTGTGTTATCGCAGAAGGGTGTGAGCAGCTTGCCCCCCCGAAGGGGTGAGTTTAAAACAAAATGTAGATTTGGAAATGATGTGTGTTTACATTTTTATTTTACTCAACTGCACCCCCCTATCCCTTCTTCTTTTAATGTACATTATTATTTATTATTTCAGTCCATCACTGTCTCCCTGTGGAGACTTTACTCTTTCTGTTTTTTTGTTTGTTTGTGTTGATTGTAACCAGTTTGCTTTTTTCCCAAATAAAAGTGGAAAAAGTTCAATTAAAGGAAAATAAGAATAAAATGCACAACTGAAATATATAAAAAAAAAAAAAAAATGAGTACAGTCAATTGTGTGTGTGTGTGCGTGTGTGCATACGAGCATTCAATCCTCCTTTCCGTCCTTAGATGGAATTACTCCAGGTGATGGTTCGGTCAGCCCAGAGTTCTTCGGGGACCTGCAGCCTCAAAACGGAGACTCACACCTCACAGTGTAAGTCTGACAATCTATTATGATGTGATGTTGTGTGTATATAGAGGTTCTGTCCTGCTATTGTCCACATGTTTGTTTATTTTCCATAAACCATACAAAAAGCCTTCTCAGAGCCAGAACCCCAACCAGACCATTTTAGATACCAGTTAATTATCCAAAGAACCTGCCTTCATAGCCAGGTCCCCCCTTACAACACCAATCAGAAGAGAATATGTGATCTAATGTGCAAAGATAACTGACTGCTCTAAAAACGGGACCAGACTACTCTGAACATCTGACACTGAAGACACACCCACATGACATGTCACTGTGTCTAAAGAAATATGGCCACACTTTTTTATATTTCAGCTCTATCACACATTTACCCCTCCTCTCCTGCTAGAGGACTTATCCAGGACATTGTTCATCAGGCTGAAAGCAGAGGGGAAGAAACTTATATCACTGTTCTTCCTGTCATTTAACAATCTAAAATGTACAACCTGTGTTAATGTTTCCAGAGATGGAAACGATGTCTTTGACCAGACCAGTTCCTCACCTGGACGACCAGCTACTGCCTACGGATTCAGACCTGATGAACAACCCTTCTATCAGTACTCGTAGGCAAACGTTTAACATTCAATGACCTCCTGTAATCTAAGGTCCATTTTGTATTCTCAATCTGCATGTCCCCTTCCTCATGTTAGTGCTAGAATCCCTTTTTCATTTAAGGCGTCCCATTAGTATAGCTACTAAGAAATCATGAGGACAGACACTCTGCATGTGCACAATGTGAACTTGTAACCAGAAAGAATGCAGCTCCATGCAGTGATAACGTTGTTAAACAGATATGTACATAACGTCTTCAGTCTTCTAATGTTGACTTGCTGACACAGTGGGTCGAGGACATTGAAGAAAGTGAACTGCTAACTGATTTCTTGAGTCTTTTCAACACTATAGTAAATATTTGTTGCTTCTTTACATTTGGTGTAAAAAACATTGAGTCATATGAAGGGATGTAACGATACCTTGGGAGACTGTAACATAGTGATATGGATAAGAGACTGTTCAAACAGTGAGATGCACTGATGGTCTTTTTCAACCTGCACCATGAAGAGATGCTCAAGACACTGAACATGTATAAAATGTTTGCACTACATACTGCCTAGTTTGTAAAAGAGTTGGGACCAAGTGTTGGTGTTTAAAGGATTTGAGCTCATAAATAACATGTTTAAGATAAAATACTGCTCACAATGTGTTAGTAGTTATTGACAGCTGTTATGACCCAACTTTTCAAAGACATTCATGAAAACTAGTCGACACAGAGCTGCCTGAATGTCAATAGCCAGGAACACTAAAAATGATCCATATCCATTTTTTTTTGCGCAGTGGTTAGTGCACACGCCCCATGTATGGAGGCTGTAGTCCTCCAAGCGGGCGGCCCAGGTTCAAATCCGACCTGTGGCTCCTTTCCCGCATGTCATGCCCCTCTCTCGCTCTCTCCCTGATTTCCAACTCTATCCACTGTCCTATCTCTACATTAAAGGCACAAAAATCCTTTTTCATTGAAAAAGCATTTTTGTAAGACATCAGTGTTACTTTTTAGAATGAAAAATGAGCAGTGTGTTTTTAAGTAACTTTACAGCCTCATGGTTCATTAATGAATACAATTTGAGATGTTTTTTTCATTGCCATAGAGTTGTAATAAAACGATCATGTTATTAATGATATATTTATAATTTGACTTCTTTCTAATGTCTTTTTGGATGGATGAAAGGAGTGAGTTGTATCGTTACATCCCTAGCCATCCCTAGATTTTCTAACATCACATTGTTACATGGTTTGAGATCATCTGATGTTATGTCAACATGCTGATGTCTTCAGTCTCTGTCTCTGTAAAATGGGAACATTGTTTTTCATGGTCTTCAGGCTGTGTTTACACTTGTTGGTCAGTACCTGTCTGATTGAAATGGTCTGATATGAGTCTCCAGTGATGAAGCATTGCATGATCAATATTTAAAAAAGGAATCAATAAATATTTTGTCTCTTTAATTCCTTACACTCCTCGTATAAACCTTTGATCCTTTTACCCACAATGGAACATGACTGTCAGAGATTCAGCTGTGATATGTTATTATTAGCACATGTAGCCACAATGAGCTAGCCTGAGGAAGAGATTTACAGCTAATTTCTACTAAGCTCACTTCCTTCTTCCAGATTGTCTAGACTTTGTCCTCTACATACATTTTAAGTGTGGAGAATTTGAAGTGAGACACACACTGTAGCAGGAGAGAGATCAGGTTTGCCGTTAGCTACATCTGGATTCACAAAATGGTTTACTAACTTTTGCACATACCTATTAGTATTTCCCAACACAATTTTTAAACAATGTTTGCTGATCTCGTTAGAGCTGACCACTTTATTCACGCAAGATGATTTGTTTACACTTAAGAGGTGCCTGTTTGTTTCTTTGCAGGCATTTCAGGCGGTGCAACTCCCCTTGTCATAGTTACAGGTCTCCACCACTTCATGCATGTTAAAAACAAAAAGGCACCAACCTTGTTTCCATGCAGCAGTGGTCAATACCTGACCATGCCATCAAGGAGAATAAGGAAAAGGCGTTGCTATTAACTAGCTCTAGTTTTTTTAAAAGGTGACCTCTGTTACATCACTGTTTCCATGGTTACTAACCATGCAAATCAAGGCTCATCCTTCATGAAAAGTTGAGACGGCTGCCTCGCTGAAATGTTGCAGCTTCTACCATCATGGTGTTCACACTGACAGGCCGTGTATCAGTCTCTGTACACTGCCTTTCTTATGGCTGATCAAACATTGAACTTGCTTCATCACATATTTTATTGATATTTAGTTTAATAATTAGGGGAACCTCCTTTTTTTCCAGATTGTCTGTGCTGCAGTAGTGTGTGAGCCTCTCCTGAGTAGTGCTGCTCATGTTAACATGCATGCTGAAATGAAAATCACTAAGTTACACATACTGCTCAGACGGTGTGAATCAGAAGTTACAGCTCAGAATTGGACTGCTTTGTGGCAGTACAAGGTTCATTTAAAAAAAATGTCTGACAAGGTTGGACAGACTCCCAAAACGGCTGGAATATTTTCACTCATCTGTTTATATTCACAGTTTGACACTTTTTCAACATGTGACCAAGTTTGTATGTTTAGTATGTCTTGAGTTCAAATACTATGAATTAAAATAAAAGAAGGCCTAAAGAGTCATGTCTCATCACTTTTAATGTGTCCAAAAACAAATCAATATGAACAAACTCCGCTCGCCAGAGATTTGACCCGTTTTATAACCTGTGGAGGAGACTGGACGACTTTGGGGTACAGGGCTAACTGAGTTAACCTCAACTGGTTCTTGCTAGCTCTGCTAACTTATCTCAGTTCATACATGAGAAAGATTTTTCATCCTGATGAGTAGTATCTGCAGTCATTTTTACTATTCCACTGAAGAGGGACATCCAGGTGCCTTGTCATAGGCACACATAAACATAAACAATGGAAGAGTGCACATACCCATAGTGCCCCATGTAAAACTGAACTCTTGGCAGTCACAGGTTCCTTCACTACAAGCCAAGCGGATACCTCTGGGCTTGAAAAGTGAAGCCAATGCAGAAGTGTGAAAAACTGTGAGTGTTTGCTTGAGGCTGGTTCCAAAAGACCCGGGGCCGTATTCACAACGCCTCCTAAGTACTTATAAGAGTTTCTCCTAGTGACAAAATTCTAAGAAAATTCTTAGAATCAGGACATTTCCTTAGAATTTCCTCTTAAAGTTAGGACTAGATCCTTGTAAAGATGAAAGTAATTCACAAAGTGTCTTAGCCCTTTAGAGAGCTCCTAGATGTAGCACTGTGAGGAGGAGTGAGGAAGACTTTTAACAGGATGAAGAGTTCCTCAATCTGATAACACAGAACAATCTTTTTGACTCATTGTTGGGCCGAACAGACTGAAATGATTTGTGCAGACATTATTCAGTACAAAGTGAGACATGCATGTTGAGTTTCTCTCATCAGCTGAAGTAACGATCAGCAGGTGAAGAAGCTGCTGCACAGGTGGGCATGTGATATCAAACATATTTTAGGCTGTATACTGTATTAGTACTGTATTAAAGTACTTTTTACAATTTATCACACATTCTTATTTCATAGTGTTCATAATTACATAATGTCTGACTAGATTATTTAATTGACTTTTTTCTCAATTTTTTTGATGAACCAATCACAGCTTCTGAAACAATGTGTCATACCTAGCAAGCAGGTCGACCACGCCTCCTCACTAAGATAAACGTGTCCGTCTCTTCCTCGGTCAGAGTCGCTCTGAGAATGTTCCATATCACTCCGAGGCTAGAAATCTTTGTTAGGATTCTTTAGACTAAGTTAGGATCTCTCTGAGAGGATTCTCAGAATGTTTGTGAGTATTGGCCCAGGTCTTTGTCTGTCTCTCAGTTGACTGAAAGTTAGGTTGAGACAGAATTTCCAGCATTGCGACCACCATCAACAGGCTTCCAAAGCCCCCGTCAGTAACCAATGGGAGCTGCTGGCTGTTCAGTCTCTATTTTTTGGGTGAAGTAATGGGGGTCAGCCCTGTGTTCCCACATTTCTATCCATGAGCCTATGATGCCTCTCTATGCCAACACGGCTTTCCAGAGGTATTGATGCACTGCAGACTATGGTTTGCGTCCAGTTGCTGCGCTTCATTCGACTGATCTGACTGGAAGCTAGTCAATGCGAGGCCTCTGTGCTGTTGGGTGGAATTGGCTACCAAATTGGGAGAAAGGGAGATAAAATCTGATACAAATTTATGAAAAATGAAATGTGGGAACATGGAAATGTGGGAACATAGACAAGCTCCCAAGTAATGTACGTCTTTTTTCATTCATATTTATATAACAGTGCCTGGTGAAACAAAACCCTGTTTTTTTATTATCTGGCTATAACAACACCTTTATAAAACACACAGGGATCAATGAACTATTTAACCATTTATTGAACAAAGACAAGTAATGTCATTTACCAAGATAAGATGTATGTATGGGGGGTGGACATGTGGAAAGACATCCAGACTTTATCACGTTTTATCCTCTTGAAGGGCATCATCTTTGTAGCTATAACACGGGACCTTCTTTCTTATTTCCTTCCTTCCTTCCTCTTGTGCTATTGGCTGAGGGATTTGGAAATCCTCATTTTTATACTTCTTACTTTATTTCTCAGCCAGATACTTTATGTCTTTCTCTCCATCATCATCTTTATTTCCATGCTGCTCTGTGGTTAATCTCTCTACTGGAGATTCAGAGGATTGCATCCTTCATTTGATCCTCAACACTCTTCTTTCCCTTTTTCTGTCTCCCTTTCTTCTTTGGTTTTCTCATGAATTACTTTCTCCACTTTCTCTTTCTTTTCTATTCCCCTCTCCAACTCCCACTTTTCTTTTATTTCTCCAGCCAAGTAGACAGCTCTGTCCATGGTCTGCCCTTTTATCTTCTGCATTACAAAAGGTGCTACAGAGTTGCTACCGATGGCCTCTATTAGTGTCCCAAGAGTTATTTCCAAAGGTTTAACTGGCTGTTGTGACGATGAGGATGAATCTATAGCAGATTGGTCAAACTCTTTGGTCCCAACGCTCACAGGAGACAGAAGCACAGTGCTCTGTTCAGAGCTTTGGATAGGGACAGAGTTGACATCAGCTGTAAGCCCTGATATGACCGTCTCTCCTCCCCTCTCAACTACCGAAGCAGGTTTTTCATCTTCACTGGGTGACACTGAGCTGGGATCAGACTGCAGCAGACTGTACTGATTATTAACCATATCAGAAGTGTCCAACATGACACTGTTGCTCTTCTTATTGGCAGCATCCTGAATCACTGAAAATAGAGGGGAAGAAATACTGTTTTGAACAAACAGTTATGTTGTCATTTCCATTTATTTATGGATTTTAAAAAAAATGTAAACAGCAATGCTCTCATGATTGGTTAAAAAACTAAGTTATAACTAATATGACATTTTTGATACTTGTTCATTCATTGCAATCAATATTGTTATGACCAATTTGATTTCACTTTGCATAATGCATATTTTATCATGTCATGTGGGCCATTGTATTAAAAAGACAAAACATCAGCTTTAACTTCCTGAAGAAGGCAAAATATATTATTGGAAGAAATAATGGAAGGTACGTATGCTGAAGAATGATTGTGCGGTTTTCATTTGATTAACAGAACCTGATCTGCTCCCAGAACACCTCAGCAGCTCTGATAACAAATTTAAAATATTAACTCATAGACTCATACAGGGTTGAATGTTACTCAGATAGGAAGAGTTTTTCTCACTTAAAGTTTCATGTCTGATATTACACAAGTTGTTTTCAAGAAGAATTTGAAAATCACCAAAGTTTTCTTGTCTGGGATTTGTTCTTAGATAAGAACAATAGATAAAATGTGTTAGATAAGAACAAAATCTACTAATACACATGTACATGTATGTTTCAGTAATGATACGCTAAATGATTTCGCAACAATCAAATCATTGTATAAGATGATGTGTACTTGTAATGTTTGGTTGAGACGGCAAAGTGTTGAATTCTGAATACAATACACTTAGGAAACTATTTTCGGATGTATTTTGAAAAAAACACCAATAATAAACTCTATAACAAATTGGTTTTAATAAGTCACATGACCCATAATTTTAACACCCTGCAGTCATGCCTTTTTACAAGCATTATGTTTACCCATTGTGAACAGCTAGGACATCTACAACCTGACATGACATCAATAAACAGCTGCATTTCTTTAACTCCGCAGTTTAACAATAGGGTCATGCATTTGACTTGGATTTATTAAGGAACTTTCTTCAGAACAAATTTAAGCTGTTATTGAATGAGTCCCAATAATGTTTGAGAGGACAGCCTGGGTACTTTTAGTTTTTACATTCACAACATGTTCATGCTCATTGACTGTGTGAGTGTGTGTGTTTACCTGTTTCTATCTTCTTACTGAGGATGTTCCTCAGTACATCACTGTAGACACTATACACCAGAATAAATCTGCTGTAATCTGAGAAAATGTACTGCTCCAATTGTTGCAGCTCCTGCACAAAAACAGATGTAATGCTTAGAGTACTTTCCATATGTTTACTGTAGTGAGTAAATAAAAGATGGAGAAGTGCATTTGACCTACAGTTTTCCAGTTGCTGTCCATTCTCCTGGTGAGAGTAGGCAGAATGATGCCCAGGAGAACTTCCTGATAGAGCCTCCTCTGGACCACTCTGCTGTCATAGTCCAGCCGCTGCTCAAACATGTTAAACACACTTCTTTACATTTAGTTTGACAATACTTAACCCAATGACATCAAACTGGCAGGACGTCAACGGCTATGGAATATTGTAAAATAAAGAGTCTGATTTGGTATCATTAGAGAAGTTATTTCTATAAACTAGTTCCTCCGTGTTTTGATACTGTTGATCCATTTTGACTCCTAAAAACTGATACAGATTCAAGTGAGAACAAAAAATTATTACTCGGCTATACAGAATATTTTGCATTGCATGTTACAATATAGAGAGTGCAGAGTGGGCCTATATTCAAATACACATATACAACTGCCTCTACAGAAAGTATTGAGGAAGATTTATGTATCACTTCTTTTTACGTCTTAGCTCTAAGACAACCGATTTTGTTCCAATCGTGGATCCGAAACAGATACCCATACGTTGTAACTTATTATATATCACTCTTTAAATATAGGAAGTCAAAATCTAGCTTTTTTAATATTTGAATGCTTAAAAGTGATATTTGATGTTCCATTTTCATAAACTTTACCTTGAGGACTCTTTCCTTTGCTTTCTCAAACTTCTGAGAAGAAGGCAGTCCATCAGATGATTGGAGAAACAGCTCTAAGGAGTACACAGCACTGTCCAACAGCTGGAAGAGACAGATGTTGCTTTGTGTGATGTGCATCTTAACCTTCTTGAATAACAAATTGGTCAAAAACAACAGGTCATCCAATATCTAAAAAAATGTAGAGGTATTTTATAGCAATTTCGACTTGACTAAACCGGCATGCCAACTGAATGTGTTTTACTTTAATTTTCTCCACTCGTAACTCCTATGGCTCACCAAATAAGCAAATAAGGTCAGCTGACTTGAGTTGGCGATAGAGGATTCAAGTAAGAAAATGACGTTAACAGAAACCAAATTTACTCAAAGTTATATTTTC